AAAAATTTTCCCCGTTTACATCCCGCTGTTTGTTATAACCTATAGGCTTCCTCGATGCATGTTCTAACCAACACAAAAATCATTTTTTAATTCGAACCAGTAGTTCCTGAGATTAGCACGTTCAAACATACAAATTCTTTAGCTTTATATATTAGTATAGATAAGATGCGTTCTAGAACTCTTTTGGTTTTCATTCGGAATTCCACAGAAAGATCCCGAAACGGAATTCCACTCAATGGCTTTTGAAACTGTGGAAATTATTTCGATATTCGTACAATCCACTTAAGATTTCAGACAAAGTCCAAAATGGTTCAGAAATATAATAATTTGATTTTAGAATCATATGGTACACGAAGTGAATCGAATTCTTATTGTCTGTCGTTTACGCAGAAGTACACATTTAAATAAAACACTGTAACGGTTTAAAGGCGCGATATATATTATCATCTTTATTTTAATCACTTAATACCATTATTGATAACAGAGGTGGGTTTTAAATTGAAAAAAGAAAGAAACACTATATAATTTAGGAATCGAAAATAAATTAAGACATTTATTCGACTCGGGCAGGACTTGAACCGGCATCATCAGCGTTCCGTGCTCTAGCTGTGACGCTGCCCGAGTCGAAAAAAATGTTTTCAATTTATTTTCAATTTTTAAATTATACAGCGCCTCCATGTGTAATAATATGCGAAAAATATTAAAGTTTTCAAAAGAAACACCATCATTCAAGGTTACAACTTTTCCAAATGAAGAGTGGAAGGAAGTGTGAATTTATATTTATATCTGGAGAAATATTTTTCTTCGAGTTCGTTCTCGTCCTATTGATGTTTCGTCCTATAAGTTTTATAAAGTAGAATAGTTTATACGAAAGTGAACTTCATGAAGTTCTTGCACGATTTAAGAAAATATTAGATTACTAGCCGTTACTGCGTGCCTGCAAATTTGTCCGCGTAGAAAAGTTAGTTTGGGTAATAAATTTTGCTTTTTGCAAACCTCCTCATTGTTTTAATTATATCTGTTACCCGGTCGACGTCGTGACGCGTCCAGTCGTTCTTGCAAGTTATTCTTAAAAGATAGATAGATATATACTGTCTAATAAAATTTTAATAGGAATCTTTCTAGACGAAAATATTTCCCCATTTTTCCACATTTCCCACTGTTTTTTCGCTCCTATCGGACTAACTCAGCATCATATTTTAAAGCCTAAAACCTCCCTCGATAAATATTCTATCCAATTTAAAAATATTTTTTTTAATACGAACCAGTTAATCTTGAGATTAGCGAAACAAACTCTTCATTTTTATAATATTAGTAAAGATATAATAATTAACGGATTTTTTTAACAATTTTACCTATATATTTGTGAAAATATATGCAATAATAAATATTAAAATATCATCAATAATTCAGGCAACAGTCGTACTTTGGCGAGGAGAACGAGTTTTCTTTTATTTTTACCTATATACCTTCTTGATTATTCTACTTGCTCATTAATGTGTACTATCTAAATAGGAAATGGAATAACACGTCACAGCTATATTAAAAGGGGAAACAAAAGAACAGTAAACGTTACGATTTTATAGCACTTAATTTTAAAGCCAAACTTTAAGAGCTTTCGATATCGAAGCCGCCAGTAACAATCGTAAAACGATTAACAACCAGCGGTTATTAAACGCAATAACTGATAAAATTTTAGGAGTTATTTTGTTTCAGATTAGATAAGTCAAAAGTTTTATGTACGAGCCGTTCCCGTTGTTTCGTTTCCTTTGTTTAACGATGTGATAGTGGGTATTCATAGAATTGCATCTTAATTGGCATAGATTCTACCCTCTTTTAACCTACGAACTTAAACTTAACTTAAGTGAAAAACTAGCGAGACACATCGAGTCTGTATATGTACTTTTTTTATCTAACTGTAGTCTTAAATTGTATGTATACCTTTTTTATAACGCTTACATTTATATATATATATATATATATATATATATATATATAATTTATATATTTGTCGTTGGTTCTATCCCCACCGAGTCCAGCACGTTAATCCCTTTATATTTTTTCTGAAACATGTTGTATTTCTTCTGGAATTCTGGATATTAAATTTGTGGTAGGAATACAAACGAATCACCTTTTTCATTTGTGGAAGTGACGCTTCGTCGCGTTTCGGTTTCAGGCTTGTTCAGATGATATAGGCTCTAGTATATCGCTTACTATAAAATGAACCCCTTGCTTGTCTGTCCTGCTCTATCATTATTATTTGTGTGTGTCAGAAAGTAATTAGCCATCTTTATCATCATTAGCTCACCTCGCAAATCAAAGATTAACTGTTGATGAAATGTATTTTCTCATTAATGCAACAGGACGCAACGTCAGCGTATTTTTAGACGCGAACTTAAAATAGAAACGCAACGTTTGCTAGTAACTTATTTCTAAATTTGATATTCTCTCTGTAATTATAGGTGTCCGCTCGTTACGCGTTGTAGTCTAGAGGGTATGCATTACAATTAATTATAATTATAACTTTATATCATTTATGGAAAAACTCCCCGTTATAATTAGATGTAATCAAAATTAAGACGATTTTTGTTAGTATAATCATTATGAGCGTCGAAATTTTCAGTAGCTTATTTTAATTAGATGACCATGACTATATTAAATGTTTGTACATTTTATTATTATAAGCGTAAAATTGAATAAGAGAAACGATAGGTAACAAGTAACATTATTTTAATTATAACTAATATAATTATTAATTTGGATATTAAAAAGTTGAGAGTGAGGTAGGGTGAGTTGGCGCTTTGTGAACTAACAGACCCGTTATGGTCTTGGTATGAAAATATGAAACGAATACTGTAGGAGGTTACGGCTAATTGTAACAACTGAAGTATATTTGAGAGTAGGTTTATTTCCCTTCTTGTGACTTTACTAGAACTGAACTTCGAAAATGGGGAGTTGGCGTTTATATAACGACTTACTCTGCTGACTTTTTAAAATTAAATTTTGCACCAGTATCTATTGAGCTTCTTCATACATTTTACAAGCTGGTCTAGAAAGTCAATCCGACAAATCCAATATACATTTAAGAAAAAAAAACTGACGACGTTCAATGCGTTGAGGTAAATCAATTGTTTAGAATGGCAGTACCTAAGGAACAGTGTGGATGCCGGGTCAAGTGCCATTCGTGAAATATTAGGTACACATCTAAGTAAGTAGATTTCTTAATTTATGAAGTGTATAAAACATGTAAAAAAAATATATTTTTTTAAGAATACTCTTTTACTACGAATCTATCGTAGAAAAACAAAAGAAGTATTTTTAAGAATTTAAAATGCGACATATATTAAGTTATTTTTAACAACGAGCAGAAACCGTGGCTGTGGTCTCGTACCTAACCAATTTTTGTTTTTGATGCGAATTCACGTTTATAGCTTGACGGTCGTTTATAGTAAATGGATATACGCAATCCCTCCAGCATTTATTTTTTATATGCGATAGTTACTGAATTATTATATTTTTTTTTCATACATACACGCGACGGTCGTAGCAAATACTTATATATATGGACGTCATTCGTGTGTAACTTTTGTTTCTATGACTGATGGTATAAAAAGAAAGAGTTTATATTATACTTTGGAATTACAATCTTACCAAAAAATAAAGAAATTCTAGAAATATTTACTTAATTTACACGGTTTTACCGATTAATTTATAAATTCCCGCCAACAGCACCATTTGACAATTGTGCGCTCACTCTGGCTGCGGTTTTGTGTCCACAGATAAAAGATGTATATTAAGACAACTTATTTAACTCCACAGATAAAATACAATTTTTATCTGTGGAATTAAATAAGTTGTCATTTGCACTTCGCTTCTACAATAAGTTTTAACTTATATATTTAACATTATGTGTTAAATATACAAAAAAAAATCAATAAGCAAATTAGTTATCAACAATAGTTGTACATTGTATGAATAACCTTTAAAGAAAAAAGGTAGTTACCATAATTATATTTACGTATCTCTTTAGTAATACGCGTACTAACAGATCGAGTTATCACCATTATATATTTCTGTCTCATGTCTATGTTTTAAAATACATGTTAAGTATAAGATGTAGGTATTAATATTTGGTAGCGATGCGAGTGTGATAAAAGGAGAACCACAAGGACCATTGTCTCTTCCAATAAGGAGGTATGGGCCCGCGTAGACATCTTTAGAGGTCCCATTGTATACAGAATTGATTTGCTAGTCTGCAGCCGACTTATAAATGATATTCCTTTATACGAATTCAATAGGAATTTCTATTTAGTTGGGAAATAATTATATATAAACTTTATATTTTATATTTCTTTAGCATTATCTGTAGTTTAAGCGAGTAGTACAATTCCAAAAACTTTTAACGGTTTAAAACGCGAGTTATATTAATTTTAGTTTAATTTAAGAAAAGCTCGACGTTTCGGGTGCGTACAAGTATATTTTGCGATTTTTCGAACCGTTAAAAGTGTTTTATTAAAACGTTATACCTTTTTTTACGTAAATTGAAGACATTGGTCGAGTCGATGACAGGTCTAACATATTTCTAGAATTTGAAAGATTAATTAGGTAGTAGGTATAGTTTTATACTTCTAGTTTTAGCATTTCGTTCAACACAAAAAATTCTGTTTTAGAATCACGGAAGAACGAAAATTATTTTTTGTCTGGGATGCCACACAAATGAACTTGCTTGTAAAAAAATGGATCAGTCTAACGTACCTAAAATGCTATCGCCCCATACCCCAAGGATTTCATTAGTCGTCACTTAATTCCTATAGATTTAAAGTTTTAATATACAAATGTATATAAATTAAGCATCATTTCCTAACAGGTTTACGTGACGACGCAGCAAAAACTTATAGACAATGTCGCTCCTGAAATCTGAAGATACGCGACAAGATGTAATGGGTCTTGTTATTTGAGACAGAGAGTCTTGTCTTGAAGGCAGGACGGATTCAGAAGCAATGCTGAAGGAGCGGGAGAGCTCTGAGGGGTCACCCTCTGCCCCTGACGAGTGCGCGGGCTGCGGGGGGCGGATACAGGACCGGTGAGCTATATAGACCAGTCGTAACACATTAAAATTAAAAACTTTAACGGTTTAAAACGCGATATATTCAACAGTCACGGGAAGACACGGCTGCTGCAAAGCATCCGAAACGTCGGGCCGTAGTTAAAAATATTTTTTAAATAAGATTAACTAATAGGTACATATCGCGTTTTAAACCGGTGAAACATTTTATTTAAATGTGTACTACTAAAAGAAAAATTCTTTAGTTTTGTGACGTCCATAATTGTACGAAGTTGACCTACACTGATTTTGACTATGACTTCTTAATGTCTCTTTTTGGTATTAAAATAACTTGTGCCATTCAGGTATTATCTCCTTGCTGTCGATCGTCAGTGGCACGGGAACTGTCTCCGGTGTTGCGAGTGCCGGTTGCCTCTGGACTCCGAGTTGACCTGCTTCTCCAGAGACGGAAATATTTATTGCAAGGAAGACTATTATAGGTTAGTACAGAGTATAAAACAAACTCTCTATATTTATCTGTGGTATCTATTTAACTTTCCAAATTCAAAAATGTTTTAATAGAATTCGATAAACTGCTCTACATTTTATCTGTGGTATCTATCGACGTTAGTTCCAAATTCAAAGATGTTTAAAATTGGAATTCGACATTTAAAATCTTGGAATAAAGTGGGAAATAATTACGTCAATTCATATAATATATTCTTTTTGTTCATCATTTCGTCGTTCAAGATCTTTTAGGCGCCGATTATGGTGGCTGAAAGTTTGCTTTCAAAACAATATTACATTTTTATAATCTTTATAACACATAGTTATATAATAGTAGTTCCTATCTGCTCATTCCTAGCTGTCATTAGTTCCAAATTTAAAAATGTTTAAAATTTTGACGGAAACCATAAGCCCTTTTGTTCACTAACTGTTGATTAACGAAATTAATTTCGTAGAACACGATGGAGGTGGCTCAATGTTTGTTGTGCAAGCAATATTATAGTTATATAGTAGCTAATATATAGTTATGTATATTTTAATTACAGTTATAGGATTGATCTTTGTCGCTAAGAAATTAACACCAAAAATTTTTTCTACAATATTGAATAAAACTTCGCTTATTCAGTCATTAGAAATCTTTTTTTTTAACAAATGCGGAAATAATTCAAACATATCCAGTTTCAAAATGCAATTATACATGTTCTGAACTACAACTAAAACGACCAAAGAGAGTCTGAAAAGTTTTCGTAGGGAAAAAATATAGATTAATTAATCCAAACTCCGGCTTTTGAAAATATTCCTAGAATTTTCTTTCAGCGTGAATTACTTTATATTTTAAATAATATAAATTTCATATTATTTTAATTCCCTTATCATATTTAACTATTAATGTCCACAGCTGGGCATAGGTCTCACATCGTTACATAGGAAGGGTTTATAATATTGAGATCCACCATGTATGGATTAGCATGTTTTATTGACTTATGACGGGCCGGTATTTTGTGATCTCCGAAGAATGGAAGCTATACCTACCTCATATCACGGTACATAACAGAATTATTCTCACACAAAAATCCAAATAGCAGGAAAAACATAAATTAAGAATCAATTTTACGACACTGACGGGACTTGAACCGGCATCCCCAGCGCTACGTGCTGCTCTAACCAATTGAGCTAGCGTCACTACATACGTCATGGTTGAATGTTTTCAACCTAATACATGTAGCTCTCGTGATATGTAATTTCTCCTCATCCTTGATACGGATTTGTTCTACAGACTAGACAGTTATATTGCATATCGCATAGTGGTATATACTTTTAACAATTATATTTATTTTATATCATATAATTTTCCGATATCGACTGGTCAGCGTTAATTAACAAGTTTTCCAAATCTGCTGATGCGAAAGTTGATGGCACAAAGCGATTGGTTTGAAATTCATCATTGATATAAATGATTTCGCTAGCGTTGCACTAATGTGAAAATGTGTTTTGTCAGCGTTTTACAGATGTTCAGTTGTTTTGACCGAATTTCGTATGGCATCCAGCGGTTTGCTGAGTTCAAGCAGGATGTAGGTATATGAAGTGGTTGGACTGTAACGGTTTTCCAACTGAAAAAAAGTGAAGTTTGTGGTTTTCGCTTTTAACAAATAGAAGAGAGTGTTATAGCGTTTTTTTGCTATTAAACAGACAAATCTGCAAAAAATATTTGGGTTTATTAAAGTTAAACAATGGAATTACTCGGCGCTCGTTTCCCTTTATTACGAAATTAGTTGTACTCGCGTAACAAGTTATTTTGGACCAAAATTTTTTTTGCAAATCTCCTTCTCACCTCAAATTATAGCAGTTACTTACCATGTTGCCCGCGTCTTGTCGTTCTTGCAATATAATCTTAAAAGATAGACATTTACTGTCGAGGAAATTTCTTTAGATCATTTAAGGAGGAATCATTCTTTCATATATACATGTTTTTGGGTTTTTTGAACTGTAGAGTTCGTGGTGCATGCAATTGAAGCCTTCAAAGCTGAATAATTTTTGGTCACTGCGTAATGTTATATAGCCAAAAGCCTCTCTCCATAAATGGCCTATCCAACATATAAATAATTTTTAATACAAATCGACAGTTCCTGAGATGAGCACTTTGAAACATACTCTTCATATATAAAATTATTCTGGACATGCATTTCCCCCACCGGAATTAAAATTCGAGGCTTCGCGCTCTGCAATATCAGCCACTCGACCAATGTTACAGCCATAGTCGTTAACGATAAATGCTTAACATAACTCGAACATTGTGACAGTTGTCACAGAAGCCCCAGTCATTATGGAGGAGCTCGTATCGTGTTTGTACTGTCAATCAAACCCACCGCACTTGTGAAGTTCACACACCTGTCAAACTTAATACATTATACATGTTGTATATCTGTGGGCTGTGTGTAATCCTTAAATTGATGTTGTTTTAACTGCCAGAATGGTTAAACTTGGCATATAGTGGAGCCGTTTGAATTTGGGGATACATAATAAAGAAATCCTACCGAACATAGAAGTCTGATTATAAAATTGATCCTCACGGGATAAAACTAGATTTTCTTATCAATGCTTTTAAAAAAATGCTTAAAGATCTCTTTATATTTAAATAAAACACTTTAACGGTTTAAAACGCGATATATTAGTTAAACTTATTTGAAAATGATTTTTAACTCCCCGTGACCACGGCTACTGCAAAGCATCCGAAACGTCGGGCCGAAGTTAAAAATCATTTTCAAATAAGTTTAACTAATATATCGCGTTTTAAACCGTTAAAGTGTTTTATATAAATCGGTAGTTCTCATTAAATGAAGGTATATTTAAGTGTACCTACTAAATATTATTAACTATACTTAAATATACCTACTTTATAGTTAACCATACAACAAAAAAATAAATAAATTTGGACGAAATTTTCCTATTTTAATCTGGTAGTTAAATTAGCACTTGCATTCACCCAAATTACTAATACATTTATACATTTCTGAAGGTATTCTCGTTATGGCGGTATTTCGGAAATCTCACGAACCCTCGAAATCATTACACCATATGCCTTCCACTGTTCGAGGGTTGATTGTTTACCGAATTATGTCAGGTTTAACCCCTGACTTGTTTAGTGAATCCATATGCTGTCAATGATGCTTGATAACCCTAATGGTTACATAACAAACAACAATTGACTAAAAATAATTTATAATGAAGAAAATATAAGTTCCCTTGTTACACAATTTAGTTTGAGGTAGAAGAGACTTAATATGGCATATCGTGATATCATCCATATTATCTATACTAATATATGAGTCGTAAAAGTTCAAACATGGCCAACTCCTTGCTAAGTGAAAATGCGGAAATCGGCGAATTCAATTTATCGAAGATTTTGAAATATAATTTTATATATTTTGGATTTTTCATGAATATTGTAATGTCACATTATTAATAAACTTACTGACAGAATTACTTTATAAACATCAAGGCTTTGGCTACTCTTTGACTTGTGTCGTAATGGAGATGACTGAATATGATTTGACGTTGCTGCCATGACGTATATTACAAACATAAGTCAGGGATATTCCCAAAATACATGTAAAATTGAACCAATAAAAATACTTTAGATATAAGTGACTAGCTTTAAAGTTTTAGTGTTATACGAGCATTGGGGTGCAATTCGTAATAGGGGCAGGAATCAACAAATTTCAAGTCAAATATATTCAGTAGCTTTTAATTGACCTTAGAAACATCTAAACATCACAATACCGTAACACCAATTCAGGGTTTTCTATATAGTTAAAAATATTAATATCGATAATCGAAAAATTGGTTAGCCCTATGCAACCAAAGTAATATTACTTTCAATATTCTCTCTTTTCTTCTCTTTGCATTTTCTTTCTTGTTCTCTCTGAGCTAGTTGTTTATTTTAGACTCTTCTTCTATTTTAATTATAATAAAACTTTTTGGATGAACTCGTTACAACTTTAAAAAATGCTCTTGATAATAACTTATGGTTTTCATTGGTGAAATGATTTGAAGCTATGGCGGGAGAAAGCCAAGATTGAAACAACTTGACAATATCGTCACTTTTTCTGATTTAGTAGAGGATATGATTTTGATTAACATGTCAACTTTATGTATTTAAAATTTTCTTTTTGTCATATAATATCAAAATTGAAGACGACTCACATAATGTTGAAGGTTTGTTTATTTTGTTTCAACCGGCTATTCTCTGAAACAACTGGTTCGAATTGAAAAAAATATTTCGTGTTGCTTAGTGCATTTATCGAAGAAGGTTATAAAATATAGCACTGTGACTATTAGCGAAGAAATAGCGGGAAATGTGGAAAAAAGGGGAAAATTATTCAGCCTTGTGGGGTTTCGTTGCGTACTCTGCGAAAACAGTTCAATATACCTAATAAATATGTATATTATGAAAGAATAATTTCTCTTTAAATTATCTTAAAAAAAATATCCGCGATAATATATGTCTATTTTTTTAAGATTAACTTGCATGAACGCCGGAAACGGCTGACGACGTCGTAACAGGGGGTAACAGCTTAAATTTATACACCAGAGATGCCCAAAATAACGTTTCTACGCGGACGAAGTCGCTGACGCAGCTAGTTTACTCATAAGTATAATGAATTTACTAAATCACTGACCATAAACGTACTGATCAGAAATAAAATATAAATTATTCATTCTTCTTTTTTGCGACGATTAAATATTTTCCTAATAGATTGTCAGCAACCGTAATGTCACACAAATTCGGTCAAAGTAACGCTATCAAAGCGAAATATATTATATATGTCACCTACCTATACATATAACTAAAATTGTACAATGACGGATTAAAACGCGATATAACTTAGTAAGTGATTAATTACGACAAGTCACGAAACATCGGATCGTTGAAAATATCGTAACCTGTTCTTAGAATATATTTATTGTGTTTTAATCTGTTTAATATGTCATTTAACTATATTATGCTATATATAAGAACTTTTCGGTAGCTCAAAAATGTCCCACTTTGGAGATTGGGTACTTAAGGATACGAGCTAGGGTGGATCCAGCTTTGGTGCCAGGAAGGGGTAATTTTGTCGTCAAGTAAAGAGAACCATTAATTTAATTGTGATATCCATAGATACAAGTAGAAAGTAGGTATTTTATTAATGTACATAAATAAACGTACTGTGATTCAAATATTTATACCTAATTGAACATGACGCAGTCCACCTATGTCCTGGAACCAGCTGAGGGGGGTTGTTGTGGGATGTCATGGGGTCTAGATCCCCCCCCCTCCTCCTGGATCTGCCGTTGGATACGTGATTATTCGTGTAAGTATATACCTTTAACGCAATAGCAAAAATTGTTCCAGATTGTTCTGTGTAAAGCGCTGCGCTAGATGTGGAAACGGCATCACAGCTAATGAACTTGTGATGCGTGCTCGTGATATGGTTTATCACCTGACTTGCTTCACCTGTGTGGCGTGTGGTAGCCTCCTGTCCAAGGGGGACGTTTTTGGTATGCGCGACGGCCTTGTATATTGCAGACCACACTACGACAGCGCGTGTTTGGATGAATATTGCGATGAGGATATAAATATGTATAGGTACGTATCGGCCATGTATTGATAGCTAGCTGTCTCATGAACGTTGTTTTGTTATTCGCCAGATGTTATTTGTTTGTAACTCTAACGAATGATTGGGAATTATTGATTAAATTCGATCAAATATGATTATGATAAAAACGGTTTTTGCGAGTTAATCATAAAAGATTGCTACGTGCCGCGGACAATTTTTTAATCATTTGAAGAGAAATCTTTCTTTCACTGATATTTTTATTTGGTTTCTTAAAAAGTTTGAACAGCCAAAAAAAAATAATTTATTTGATCATTCGAGAATCCTTTTCTTAATTTTACAACTTTTGAATCTGCGGTAGGAAATTCGATGTTCATACCATATTGTCGAAATTTACTAACACGAAAATGTTAAAGATCTGTAGGATTTTATTTTTGTTTGTAAACGTGCCGGAGGAGTCAGGAATCGAATCCACGATCATATATATTCTATGAATAACAAAATTTTTACTTTTGGGCAAACAAACTCGTGAAAATACAACTTTCTATATTATTTATATCAATGTAACAAAAAATATGTTTTATCCGGAATACGAACCCAGGACAATCGCGTCCATTTATTGGTAGGCAACGCGTTCAACTTAGATACATAAATATAATTAATTCATAGATGCCAAGAGATGCACAGCGGAGGCGATTCCCCATCTCAGTACTATTCCGGTGGTCCCAGCCAAAAAGGACGACCGCGTAAACGAAAAAGCGCCCAAGGATCCCCCGAGGACATACAAGTGCAAACAATGAGAATGGCGAATACAGCTCTAGGTAAGCCATTGCTCGTTAAACACCCCCCAAGCATTGCGAACTGTATTCACCTGCGAATTTTACACTGTAGACATATCTCACTGTAATTAAAACGGAATTTCTTTTAATTATTCCCGTTTCCCCATTTGACGAAAAAGCTTATTAGCCACCCCTGGACCCCTCCTTTTTAAAGTCTTATTTTTTCTTCTGAGACGTTCTCCTTGGGCGATATGAATTTTAGCGAAAATGCACGACGAGAGACTTTTTTGATTCAGTTTTTCGACAGTCGTTTAAAATTTATCAGAGGCCTCGGAAGGGAAAACACGACGCTTCCCCCTCGTCGGCGTCCCAGATGTCAATTCATCCCAGCCCGGCCTTAATCACGACTAATGAATAGACGGCGCGCTGTCAAAACTACTCTCATCTCTCTCCCACACGCTTTTTCCTCTGATGATAGAATGAGAGAAATATTCTTTGGGTGGTTCGCTCTCTCGTCGGGGTCGTCTGGATTATTCTTTGCAGAGTCGAAATGCGAGGCACTCGTTGAGGTGAATTCAGGTTGTGTGACTTCTCGACCCCGATTAATCAGTGAGTTTGAATGGGGCATGGGACGATACTTCGTTATAGCTTCCACTTTGCGGACAGCCACATTGCAGTCTAGACGCTACCGCCCTATTAATTATTATTGCGGTTTCAATTCATTTTTCACGTTCCTTAACTTTAGCATATAGTAGTGAATAATTTTTAAATCGCAGTAATTGCTAGCTAAACAATCATCTAGTTTTAGTTTTTAAACAACGAATATGTTAGTTCCTAGTTGAATAGTAGTGAAGAATTGTTTATCTCAATCATTAGAAATGTGTTAAAAGACACGACAGCTATAATAGCTAGCTAAATAAATAAACATCTTGTTTTAAAGTATTTTAATGAAAGACCAAATCGAAGTATGTACCTAATAACATTGAAAATATTTAAATAAAACACTTTAACGGTTTAAAACGCGATATATTAGTTAAACTTATTTGGAAATGATTTTTAACTTCGGCCCGACGTTAAATTAAAGTTTGTCAAATAAATAAGTATCAAATAAAATATGTTAGGATGACTAAAATATTATCTACAATAAGGTACCCGGACGTCTATGTGTGCCTAATGACAATTGACCGCAAATGAGGTTTTGTTCCCTCAAGCCAGTTAAACCAAAGACTATACAAGTTCCACAGACTAGCAAAGTGTATCGTCAATAACATAGTCTGTTGACAAAACAAGGGCAGAGTGCGCGCGTGACAATAATAATGCAACTAGAGCTCTCCAAAGTTTCCGTGCCCTATCGATTATCGCTCGATCTCGAAGTCAAAACTGCTCATTTCGCACCTTTACTGTTTGTTTATCAATTGGTTGCGTTAATGTAACTCTTGCTTATATTTAAAATACGTAGGAAACTCTCTAATGGTCTTTACGATAGAGGTGGAAGAATTGATTTGATAAAAGGCATATTCAAATAATTCTGAAATTAGGACTTTTCTCTGTAAATGAATAGACTTAACGAATTTTGTGAAGTTTACTCGACTTCTTGGACACATGTCCGATGTCCCTACCACGCATTTGATGCGTAGATGTTCCAGACTCTTGATTATGACTAGTAACGAAATCATTAAAATTTATTTTCCAGAACTGTAATCCAGTATAATCCGCAACGTATAATCTCATATCGTTTTCTTATGACTTAAGAATATCCAAAGCTAAGATAGGTCGATCGCGCATCTTACTTAGTTCACCGTCGACCTATTTTAGGTTTGGCTGGGAATAAAGGATGAAATCTATCAAGGCATACCCATGTTTGTCTGTAATCTATAAGCTAAAAATAAAAAAATATTACTTTAATTAGCTCCTATGAGACAATAGACCTAGGCCCAACAGTGGGACATTAATAAGTTTAAACGCCTTCCTAATCAGCTTGTATTAAACTATTTAATTTAAACGCTAATTAATCAATCGACAGAACGCTTGGTAGTTTAAAAAATATTGTTGCATTCATTAACCTATATTTTAATATTATCAAGGAAATTGTAAATTACAGCCCAAACAGACCTCCCACTTACGAAATTAATTAATTAAGGCCACAAGGGCAGATGCAGCTATCGAACAAAACCGACAAACGGTAACACCAAAATTCATTTTAATTAACGAAATTTAATAAAACGCAATAGAACAAGCGTTGCGTGGAGCTGGGAATGACATTCCTGCCTTTATCTGCCATTCGATCGAGTCAATTCAAAGTTACGAAAGATGTGTTTCCGAGCTTTCCTTGTTTAACGTACGTTTAAGCGTTTTATTGTTAACGGCGGTTAAGTTTTAACATATATTATAACCTTTACATACATATCTAATATAATAATATGGCACGTCACTGTTTATTTACTTTACTTCTATATATATATTCAACTAGGCAAATTTTAAAGTGTTATATTATTAGTAGGTATACCCGAGAGACGTAAAAAAAAAAGCCGTTAAAAGCGTTTTATTTTACTACTCATATAGACTACATTCAATACTCAGCTTCTTAACTTGGACGGTTTCGTTGGTAACATTAACAGCTCGATAGTTTGATTCCTATTGGATCTAGATTGTATAGAGTTTTGGATTTTTTCTTACAATGTCCGTATTAATAAGAATCTGGTGGTAGATTTATCTAAATTCTGTCTGAGTCACGTACGCGGAAAAGTCACATTCAGTTATAGTCAGTGGATCCAGAAGATCCAAAGCCTAATACAAAATTACTGTTCGGAGATGTAGATGTTCAGCTAATGGCTATCTTTCATCAAACATTAAACACTTGTATGTTGTAAAAAGTTTCCAAACAATTTGTATTTCTTGTTTCCTATAACACTTTTGACTCGAGCGAAGTAAGCCGGCGCCTGACGCTATAAGAAAATAGGTAGATACACGTACATTTGAAGCTTCTCAACTTTTTTATAACCAGTCATTAATATTGAAGCCTTTATGACCAAGATGCTTTATAACTGATCTTTTTTGTGACTAGAGAAGTTTTACGTAAAGTCGGTAACATGTTAATTCGGCCCATAAAATAAAACATACGGTTAGAAATTCGAATCCAATTCGTCAATTTTATTGCGTGGGTAACTACTATCGTGTCGCTCTCGGGTTTTTCGAATTGTAGCTTTCAATGATTTCTCGTGAACAAATTTATACTTTATTTACTTAAGATTTACTAAAGTCGAAGCAATGTTTCGTTCTACGTCGCTTAAATCGATAAGACAAACAAGATTCGATTTTCTCTAAAATCTTATAAAAATCTAAAAGTAAACTGCAATCATTTCATCTGTGTCTCAAGATGCCCGATAGAAGCGACTAAGCTAATCTAAGTTGATCTATGTAATGCTAAAAAGAGAAGTCAACTAAAATGATAGCCCGTTACGTTACGAAGCGGTGTATCACTTTAGGAGTTATCACATCGAACTCAACTTTATAAGTCTTTTCTGACCCCACGACTACAACGTACCGTGCTGTACTAACTGAGCTGTTGTGTTTTTAAAAACAATACCAATATTGGTATTGGTATTGTTTTTTTTGTATAATATATATAATTTATTTGCTTCATAATACTCTTATAGTATTGTGTAAAAAAATGTCTAATCGTCACTCTCAAACGTTAATCGCTTTTTTTTCTCGGTAGATATTTTTTCTAAAAAATATAAAAATATAGATTACCATTATCAATTCTAGCGTGTCGCCGGCTCTGCCACATCCTATAGTTTTTCTTGTCTTGGTGACAGGAAATATACAGATTGACTGCGATCTAAGGTCCGGTTGTGGTCGAGTTGTGGGAGCAAATTGTACCGAATTTTTTTCACAGCCAGTTTTTAGCCTAGTCTGTTTCAACCTAGCTGAACATAAACAATCTTAAAATTAGAATACTAGTTTTTCTTTCAAAAGTTATTGACTGTAGCTTACGCGAGAGCACTAAATAAAACAGTTTTTAAATAGTTCGTTATTCGTATGATTTTTTTGGAAATGACCTTGAAGAAGAAATAAAATAAAGGAAAAGAATGCTTAATTAGACATAATAGATGTTCTCCACTTACACAGTGCTCCTCTCATAAAAGAGAGAGGCTTCAAGAGAGCGACGTTGCACCAATATGGGTCGGTGGGCTGCACCGACTACCGTCACTAAATTAGTCGTAGTTAAAATAATTGCGTCAGACAGTACAACAAGGCACCAAATCCGGGGGGGTTTAAAAGTTTTTTAAAAATATTTTTCCATTTTTGGACAAAATTCAAATTTCGAACATTGTGTAACATTGTGCGCGAAAAACTAAGACTTTGTAATTTGAAACGAATTATAAAAGTGCGTAGAGAAATTTATTGTCTTTCCATCCCTTATAACATTGATATTACTTCTATTTAGCGTCTATTAAAATAGTAAAAAACGCAAAATAAATAACCTTACTTACGGTGCTGTCAAAACAAATGGCGCTGTATGATAAATGCGATGATAATTGGACGGTTTCTTGATGTTGACGATATCACAAAATAGTCGAAGCAAAAAGACCATTAATTAAATTTTCTCCCCAATGAAATTGAATTTTTGATAGCGGGTGGGCTCACACGCAGCTAGCTCTGTGTTCATCGATGTGGACAGGCCATTATTTAAAACAATAACACTAAAGTATAAACAGTTTTTTACGGTTCACCGCTTTTGATACGTTTTATAAGAAAATGTTGGAATTGTGGCTTACAACGTGATAATGCTTAGCCATTTATTCGTGTTTAAAATTGATATATTTATAGATCCTAAATAGGGTATTGAAAAATTATAAATAATATTACTTGGATTAACGAAACGTCACTTACGACGAAATCGTATTGTTTTGTTCCAGAATTCTAAAATTAAATTTAATTAAAAAAAGCTAAATTGGTAAATTTGTGTTTGCTCGTACTCCTTTAAGTGTGTTCCAGCGAATTCAAAGTTTTGTATAGCCCTTACGTCAACAACTATGACATTTTTACTTTGTAAAACTGCGCATAGCATTGCCAGAAAATGTCCAAAAAACTATTAACTATTAATTATTTCAGATTGAAAATAATTTACGACACGGGCAGGATTTGAACTGGCGTCCACAGTATTGCGTGCTGTTCGTCTCACCAACTGAGCTACAGTGTTGTTTTTTTTCCACCTATTGATACATGCACCTCTCGCGCAACATAATTTCACCCGTAACATCCGAGTATTAAGGTTCAATAGCTTATGTTTTACACTTTCAGAAAATCATTGAAAATGTAATTACAGAGTTTAAATACGACGAAGACATGTACGACAAACACGGTCAATTGGTTAGAGTATCATCACAGAACGCTGTGGATAAAGTTTCATGTCCTGCCCGTGTCGTAATTTTTTGCAATAAATGCAATATTAAAGTTTTCAAACTTTTAAATAAAATACTTTACAGTTCAAAACGCTATGTTGTAATGTGTGTATATATGTTAGTTAAACGCTGCAAAGCGTCCGAAACATCTGGCCTCGTTTAAAATAATTTTCAAATAAGTATAAGTAATTAATATTTTAAACCGTTCAAGCGCTTTTATTATAATGTGTACTTTTAAATAAAACACTTTAACGGTTTAAAACGCGATATATTAGTTAAACTTATTTGAAAATGATTTTTAACTTCGGCCCGACGTTTCGGATGCTTTGCAGCAGCCGTGGTCACGGTCGCGTTTTAAACCGTTAAAGGGTTTTATTTAAATGTGTACTACTCGCGTAAACTACAGATACTTTTCAGACATTATATTCTTCTTCTTACCGTCTGTTTCGTCAAATAATATTTATAATTGTTTCAGATATACTCCACCGAGGTGACCTGTCTTCATCAATGGAATCTCTGGCCTACGACTCATCTGTAGCGTCGCCAGGAAGTGTCACAAGTCACAGCCAACGCACTAAACGTATGCGCACGAGTTTTAAACACCATCAACTGCGAACTATGAAGTCCTACTTCGCGATCAACCAGAATCCTGATGCGAAAGATTTAAAACAGCTCGCACAAAAGACTGGACTGTCCAAGCGAGTGTTACAGGTAGATCTGCTTTTTGGTATGTTTGTAAAAATCTTTCCAGAGAGGTTGATAGCTCCTTAGGTTAGGTTAGGTTAGGACTCTCTTATTTACGTATACGTTGATTGAATTCTGTACTTAGCTCGTTCTTCTTTAGGAAGGCGGTTAATTATACATCGATATATCTATACTAATATTATAATGCTGAAGAGTTTGTTTGTTTGAACGCACTAATCTCAGGCACTACTGGTTCGAATTAAAAAATCGAGAGAAAAATATAGAAAACTAGCTTCCGTTGCTAGCGTTGCAAAAACGGCCTATGAAACTAAAAACAAATATAATAGAATGATTGTTCTTAATATTATTATAAAAATTACAACGACAGTACATGTTAATATTTTTAAGTGAGTAACAGCTATACTTTACAAAGTTAGGGAGGTAGTTTGCAAAAATAAATAATATGATGCCCAAAATAATTTTCACGCAAACCACGTCGCAGGTCCAGCTAGTTAATTATAAATAGTATTATTCTGAACTCAATGCTTTTAGAATCTACGTGTAAATTATATTTTATCTACTAGCACTTGCTAGGAATCCCAGTTGTAGGAACAATTAAAAGAGTGCTGAGCGGGATAAACACGACGTTAAGTGAATACTTGTCTGCAGGTGTGGTTTCAAAATGCACGAGCGAAATGGCGTAGAAACATGATGCGTCAAGAAACGACGGGCCACGGTCAGATAGTACCCAACAACGGTAACCATAGCAACGGGAGTCTAGTCGTACCACCCCCCAATGTTGGCGCTATGATGATATCAGAACCGCTCCAGACGATTGAGGATCTACGAGTCCACACACCGCACCCAATGTCGTTTAGTGAAATGTACTGATATACAAAAAACACGATACTTTCACACAGGTTAGTACATAACCTGGCGAAATGATGTAATGCCATCGAAATTGCTTTACACAAGTTTCATGATTTTTGAACGCCTCCACAACCTTTGTAATATTTGGAGTATGACGTCTCACATGTACGCAAATCTAAAACTAGAAAACCAAATTCAAAAATAGTGTTTTGTTTTTCACATGTGCAACAACATGTCCTTATATAAATTAAAAATCTATTTAAGATTGAACAACAGACATCCACAGCGTTCCGTGCTGTTGCTCTAATCAATTGAGCTACCGTGTCCTACATACAACTCGTCGATTTTTTTCAGCTTTGAATTGTGATGTCATGAGATTCCAAAATTTTCTTTTACCACCCTTTAACTGTAATGTTTTTGAAGGAAACCTCTCATCTTGTAATTAAACAGAAAATTTTGTAAAAAGTATACTTTGCTATATTTGAATAAGAAATTTAAAATATAATTTATCTTATTTAATAAATCAAAGGTTTCAAATCCAAATCCTTGGATACATGGTCAATACATATGTTGTGTTTAATAGGTAATATATAATTTATATATTATATACATAATTTGCAAATCGTTTGTTTATTTATTTAATTTACATGTTGAAGGATATGTTTTTAATTAGTTAAGTATCCAAAATAACATTCCTCGTTAAAGAATGAAATTATTAATAAAATAAATATATTTATTTATTATTTCAACTTAATATAATTACTACTTTGACTTGCAAATTGTTAGTCGTCGTAATTGAAGAATGGTTCTCGGTATTTCGGCACGACGAATTGATGACGTTATCGGAAGATGTTGTCTTCTCATTACCATTTTTCAATTCCAAAAGCCAAACAGCTCGCAAAACAAAGTAGGTTTGCCCATATTTTATTAATGTATTAGTTCATCCGAATTTTATAATTGAGTAGTTGGTGACTAACGCAATTTAAATAAAACACCTTTAACGGTTTAAAACGCGAAACGTATTAGTTAACATATTTAAAACAAAAACCGTTAAAATTGTTTTATGTAAATGCGCAATACTTGAGTAAACTACAGACAGTACTTGACTATGCAATTAAAAAATTCGCATAACCGTCGAGGTATTTGCATTTCACCTTACGAAGCATTTTGGCTAACGATTTAAAAAAATATTGACTTATTGTTTTGCTAACATTCGTTTACAGTAAAAAACAAAGGAACAATGAAGGGCGAAAACAGTTTGCAACATCAAATAATATTAGAGACAATATTATAAACAAAAATTAATTTAAAATTGAAAATTTAAGTATTAATTAACTTACGATAAGTAACACAAAAAAATATTTATACTTCAAGAGGTTTTAGCGAACTTAAAAATATTTTTTCGAGTGTTAATTTAACATATATGTTTATTGTAACGATAAGTCATCAATCTGTAAATAACTTATATGTATATTATGTTCTTGTTTAGTCTTTGTTATTTTAACTTAATAGTTTAAGCCTATTTATTATCTCATATGCACATAGATTAGAATTATTATCTACATAACGAATTTAATAACTATGTTATGTAAATACAGTGATACTAGTCAAACCATTATTATACATTTAGGAGACAACGTATATCAGATAGGTACTGTAGCTTAGAGACTGAATTTTTAATAAATTTGTCAGAAATATAGGAAAGTATTCTAAACATAATTTTCAATTGATAGTTTTTTGTAGTTTTGAATAAATTTACCGGAATGATTCCATAGAGTTTTTAAGCTACTAATTAAGCGGTTCGATCCGTCGCAATTGAGAAATGGTCGAAGTCGTATTACGACGTATACAATGTATACTTTATGGAGTGTTGTCTCTTTCCCACAATTTTAAAATAAGAATGCCCAGTGTCTTAGAGAATCAAAGCTCTATCAAATCAGTTCGGTGAAAAAATTATACAAATGTGAAAATAAGAATACTATTATGGGATATACCTATTCACTGTTTTGTGTACTACGCATTAGGTGAAGATAATTCTTCATTCTTTCATTTCCTATCACTAACAAGATGTTTATTTCTGGCACATAAATCAGTTCCCACAGCTGGGACATATGCTTTCTAAAAAACTATGAAATTGTGTATCGCGCTATCCCCGGAGAGAAGGATACATATTATGTATGACAAAGGCTCGGACCCGTGACTAGATCAGCCGAACTTAAGTATTTGATCATAGTTATTTTAATTTGACACTTATAAGTTATAATATGGCTTTTGATGTATTTATAAACATTGGCCAAGAAAAATAATTTTGATCGATTCGCCCTGGATCAAGTTTTTTCAAACGCACGAATAATTTCGAAATTATGTTAAGAAAATGTAATTATTAGCAGTAGAAAATTATTGTATTCGTCTTTATTGTATTATGAAAACTATTTATATACTGAAAAGAACCTAATATATAGAATTACTCGTATTATAGTATTATTTTATATATACCCCTAACCTTCTTTAATCCATTTCCCTACATGGGGAGGATACATTTTTGTAACTGTTGAAATGCGCAATTTTAATACATCGAAAAAGCGAACGGATCGGAAGCAGAGTTGACAAGACATGGCTCTTCTGAGTAAAACTATTTATGATGTTTTCCCAGGATTTGAAGCTACGACCTCTCGCGCGGTTACAACCATTAAAAGATAGAGGTCAGACACAATGTATTTGCAAAGCTTCATTTAAATTACATAATGTGTTTTTTTAATAAACAAACTCTTATAATAGATATCGCGTGTAAGACGCAAAATATAGTAATTAAATTATTTTATTCGTTTCCCCGTGATCCCAGCTTCTGGAAAGTATCTGTAACGACGGACTGTAGTCAAAATAAATTAACTAATGTAGAGCGCGTGTAAAACCGTTAAAAATGTTTTGTTTACAATGTACTAATCAACTTAACTTGGCCGTTGGTCTTATGGTGGCAATTTGTGGCTATTAATCCGTGATTCATAGGTTCAATCGAGGCTGCTACAGGTAGAGTGGCCTATTAACAAAATAACATGATTTTTAATAAGGAGGAAAGTAAAAATGAGCAATTAACTCGAGCGAAAATGAATTTGTACTATTATATGTGTAAGAATTGTGTTAACAAGTCGGTCTCTGTGCTCTTGTAGATTAAATTTTTTAACCTAACTGCAATTTTGTCATAAAATTGCACTTAGGCTACTTTACCTCTAGCGGCCTCAGTTTATAAACCAACCCATTATCAAGACATGGATATTCAATACTTGGTAACAGTATGCAAATATTGTCCAATAACGAATCAATATAGGCCGACAGCGTAACGAAATTTTTACGAAATTTAACGAAACGTGAGGAAATTATTTTATTACGAATATTTTTATAGTCAATAAAAATATTTTAATTTTAAAATACAGAGTGAATTTTGTGTACCTTCCTACTATTGTTTATCTAGATAATATTAAGTGAAAAAGAGAACTTCTTAAGCGTACACTTGGCTGGATCTTTGTTTGAATTGTGTTTTGAAATAAATCAGTACCTTTCTCTAAACTCCAACATACATCCATAACTACAACACTGTGCACATTTCACACAACTATGTTGTTCGGATCGCGTGTTGTAATAAATCAATTATAAATGTCGGCGACGTATTTTTATTTCTTTTTTACAGTAGCAATGGATGGAATTCATTAAAATATTGACGTACCGTTATAAATCTAGCTTAAATATTTTAACGAGATGACATAGCGCGCGATTTTCACTTCGTTTTGACTTACCATTGATAGTTCCTTTGAATTTCAATACGCGCGGTGTCGGAAGATGTAGACGTCTAGATTATAGGTTTTATGGTATTTTAATGATGTGATTAGTATCAATCAGTTTTACCGATCGGAAGAATTCGTTGGTCATTAGTTTTTCGCGAAATTGCTATTCTTTTATAAAGGGATTTTATATTATTGTTTAATACCGACATTCTAGTGTTATAAGTAAGTTAAAATAATGTAGGTACATTGTCTGTATTTTTATTTGAACGGTTTAAAACGTATTAATTAACGTATATTCACGGGAGGACCGATGGTTGATGTCGACCGTAACGTAAACTTCAAATCTGCTTTGTTCTTGCCTTTTTTGACTTTGATATTAGGGACACCTAATCAGTCAACTCATGATCACGGCTACTGCAAACCATCCCAAACATTAGGAGGTAGTTAAAAAATTGTAAATGTAGTAGAGTTTTATATAATTTAATTTTTAATGAAACAACAAACACTTATCAAAGCTCTATATAAAACGCGATAAGGAAGTTTCAAATTATTATTTAACTTTTCCTGATAAAAACTTTTGTGCGATAAGTTCCCGTCTAATTAATGTAATTATCAAAGGGTATGTAACACACAATTTCAGGGCACGAGTAAGCAATAGGTTTGATAAAAAAGGTGGTTTTAGTATAAAATTTACACTAAAAATTTTAATAAACATTATTTAAATAAGGGAAAACAACATAAGTGCGCGTCATTCGCATGGCAGAAGTATAAAAACCACGACTCCCTGACGCGGCTTCGAGACTCGACGTAAATGTCTTCAAAATCTAATACAAGATTTTAAAATGAAATTATCATTGTAATATATTTACAACTATTGTTGTATTTGTTGGATTCGATAAAAAATATCCCGATTCAAATCGAAACTATCCAAATCGATGGAGTCCATTCTCGTGTAAGTGACATAATATTTACACCAACATACGTTGTATACATTTCAATAAAATAATTTGACGGTTTAAAACGCGATATATATTAGTTAAACTTGTTTGAAAATGATCTTAACTACGGCCCGACGTTTTAGAAGCTTTGCAGTAATTGTGGTCACAGGGTAACGTCGGGCCGTAGTAAATAATCTTAAAATAAGCAATAAACATCGCGTTTTAAACTATTAAAGTGTTTAATTTAAATGTTTACTACTTACGTAAACTACAGACAGTATGTATCGTATATTCAATTTTGTGTGAAACTAGTGACATTTGTCAATATTAGTTTTATATCACATTTTTAAGAATTGCCCCCCTGAACCGTCATTGTCATTCCGCTGTCACCGCGACTCAGATGACAATACAAAAGGCAGTCAATTCGTCTGATTTATAAGCGTGCTTTCATTATAAAATATATAATGTCGATATCCGCACTGCAAGTGGGAAGGCAAAAAGCGGTTAGACCGTCTTACAGAATCGAGAACGAGTACAATACGGAAGCTACTGCACAGTACTTTCAGGTTACGTATAACTACTCGATTCTCATACATTATTTATTATAGCCCCTTATTGCAGCACGGGTGTGTCTTTTTGCTGAAATACAATGGGAGCCTCGTGACGCGAGATTGGGACAACGCCGTTGATGCAGATTGTTTTCGCGAATTCCTTTACATAACAAGATCTTGCTGTGTAACTGTAATTTTTTTTAATGATAGAGGACAGCGTGAGATTCACTTGATGATATATACTTCAGCCTATAGCATCTAAGCAAATGCGCTGTCGACCTAATTTTGCCTTTGGATATTCGGAAATCCACAGATTGAACCGAAACGCGATTAAGCGTCATCCGGATGGAATTTCTATATTTCTACCACTCATTTAATATCTAGATTTCCAGACGAAGTCCAACATGTTAAAAAATAGACAAATAGGAAACTCGATGTGGATCGAATCCACGACGCGTTGTTTATTAGCCTTACATTGCTACCATTGGACGCGTCAATTATATTCGCTTCCAGTCATCAATGAAATGGACACAAATTTGGCTTCCACAGTTTTACCTTATTACATTTATTATCCTACTGAGTACAGATCTTCCATGAGGTTTAAGAATCTTAACCTACCATTCATTTTGAACTTCGAGATCTGATGTCTACAAACACACAAACAAGGCACTTATGTAGTTTAAGATTTTTTAGCTGTGCGTCTAAATGAAGTGTGATATTATAGATATCGATGAATATAATAGAAGCAAGGAAACTTGCTTGGCTGAACCCACATTCAGCGAACTCGTACGTCATCATTGTGTTTGGGAAAAAGAAATACAGAACCAGCCTCAGAAGGAATATGCTTGAACCGTACTTTAATGAGGTGAGAATGTTTGAAAGCTTTAATATTTTTCACATGTTATTGCGCACGATTGTTCTATATGAATTAAAAATCAATTTTTGGACTTCAAGGACTTGACACGGTACAAATAGCATTCCATGCTGTTGTTCTAACCAATTGAGTCGAATGCCGGTTCAAGTCCTGAAATCAAATCAATTCAAAATCAATTTTTAATTTATGGGTGATAATGTTTAAATATGTCGTACGTATATCAATTTGCTAATTTGTTTAAAATTCGGGAGATGGATATCGCGACAACAGTAAAAGTTACCCAAAATATATAAAATAATGATTCTTCGTTAATCGTAAACTAAAAAATTTCCATGACAGTATTAGTCTATCTTTTAAGATTAACTCGCAGGAGTAACTGCTATAAAATATACAGATGTAGCAATTGCTTGCAAAAATACATAATAATATGCCTAAAATTACAATTCCATGCGAGCGAAGTTGCAGGCACATCTAGTTAAAAATAATAAAAAAAACTAAATAGCTTTCATACAAAATTGCCTCTTTATTTAATTTTGCTGGATATGATTCGAACGCCAAAAATCATATCCAGGTTTGCAGTTAATATATTCTGCTATGTCGTTTCCAGATGTTCACTTTTGAAATGTACAGCAGTGTACAAGCTTTGCTAAGGACAAACATCTGGCTAGCCATAATGGAACCGAGGTGTTACGCTTCATCGCGAATTCTTGGCGAAATAAATCTAGATTTAAACGTTATTTGGTCGCAACCAAGTTAGTGTCTAATATATATTCAAATACTAGAATGTATACTGATCCTTCTATATTATATATTATAAACTTTGATGTGGAATGGGGCTTTATTTTTTTTGTTTGTTCCTTGATTAATTTTTATTTACAGTAAATCAGATCAGCAATGTCCAATGCCCAAGAATAATAGTTTATTATTCTGCGATTCGAACCCATTTACCCCAATTTAAGGTATTGTGGTTAACCATTGAGCCTCCGAGACTGTATCCGTTTAGTTAAGCAATCAATTTGGGATTTCACTTTTATTTATATATAGTTTTATAATCGAAAGATATCAAATGAGGCCGCTAGAGGCAGAGTAGCCTAACTGCGATTTTATGACTTGTATTATTTATATTTTCATAGTCCAAAAAATGTTAATCTACAAGAGCAAAGTAACCGAAAATTGTTAATATAATTCTTACACAATTGTACAAATTAATTTTCGCCTTTTTATTTTCCCCCGTTATTGAAAATCATATTTTTTTGAAACTTTATTATTTTTTACATGTGGAGGCACTTGAACCGGCATCGTCAGCGTTCCGTGCTGTTGCTCTCGGAACGCTGAAGATGCCAGTTCAAGTCCTGCCCGAGTCGAAAACTTTTTCAATTTATTTTCGATTTTTAGCTGCCTCATTTCACCATAATATATAAAAATTACAGATCATCAAGTAAATAACAAATGGGTGCAGTTACACGCCCCACGGAACGTTTCGTTTGGCCCTGTCGGTTTTCTTAAGTTGAGTGTTGCTGTGGCTTTCAGAGACGGTGTCCATATTGACTCGAGTAGCATAAAAAGCGATGTAATCGATGAGTAAGTAACGTAGTCTTTATCAAAATACTATTCAGAAATTATGTTCCTAACCATAAAACATCTTTCTTTAATAATTCTGCTACCGTTAAAGCGATTCGCCTTTTTAACTCTCTTCCCACTAATTTCAGAAAAGCTCAATCTCTCCGTTCTTTTAAGAGTTTCGTCTTTAAGTTAGAGATGGTGGGGGGTAACCCCCCCCCCCCCCCCCCCCCTTTTTTTTTTTTTTTTTAAAAAAAAATTTTTTTTTTTTTTTTTTTTTCCCCCCCCCCCCGGGGGGGGGGGGGGGGGGGGGGGCGAAAAAGAAAGAGGGGGGGGGGGGGGGGGGGGGGGGGAAAAAAAAAAAAAAAAAAAAAAAAAAAAAAAAAAAAAAAATAAAAAAAATTAAAAAAAGGGGGGGGGGGGGGTGGGGGGGGGGGGGAAAAAACAAAAAAAAAAAAAATAAAAACCCCGGGAAAAAAAAGGACACGGTAAGTTTTTAAGGACACAGCCAGTTTCCGCAAATACCAACTACGTAGAAACAGATGGCGCTAGCAGTGACTTTGACATTTAGGAACTCTCCATCTTTATCCGTGACAGGCTGCTGGGAAAATTCCGAACGGCGGGCCGTAAAGAATAAACATAAGTTACAATTTTTTCGTGCTTTATTAAGTTTATAAAATAAGATGCCAAAATAATGGTTAAATTAAGCTAAAGACGTTTTCAAGACGACGTAAAAAGGGTACATGCGCAGTCGCAGGTTCGAGGCCTGCCTTCGATAAATATGACCCCTTAATTTCCATTTTATCTTTTTTGTTTGTAACGCTTAATGATTCTATAAAACACATAAACAATATACATTTGTTATTCCTTGTTACTGGCTTAATATTTTTATATATAAACTTTTTGTTTCTCATTATAAAATAGCTGTAGGTAAAGAGTACAATCATAAATATTAATACCAAATGAATTATTCTTAAATTTCTATCACTTAATTGAAATAAAGAAATCCTTTTGTGTAAAAGGATTTTCACTAGTTCGTATAATTTAGAATCTTCTCTGCAAAGGCTAACTTTTTTTTAGGAATATTTTATGCGGCTTAGAGCAGCAACGGGCGAATTATCAGATAACAATATATGAAGCATTTGGTCTCCCTTGCAACAATATGTCGGGGGACAAGAGATTTGGAAAACCGCCCAGTACTTATGTCAAAGTTTCTTTTTGCGGTGTAGTGGTAAGTATAGCAACGCATACAATCAAATCTGTAGTAGTCAGTAGGACGTACATAAAAACATTTTTAACAGTTTTATACTGTCTATACTAATACTATAAACCTAAAAGAGTTACGTTACACGCTAATGTCAAGTACAGCTATCAACTACCAGATTGTTTTTTATGTGTAGAGCATTTATCGAGGAAGGCTTTAGGCTGTAAAACATCAAGTTCCCAATACGATGTCCAAAATAACTGTTCCGGGCGGACGAAGTCGCGAGCACAGTTAGTATGTACTTATATATATAATAAGTTTCAAACCGTTAGTGTCATCTATTTGTGGTAGCTAAACAACAAGAATCATTGCTTAATCACGAAGGCTGAACAGGTCATAATATTTAACAATCATGTTAGTAGTAAATTAAAATACTATTTACTTTGAATGGAATAAACGACACGGGCGGTACTCGAACCGGCATCTACAGCGTCCCGTGCTGTTGCTCTAACCATTCATGACACGGTAGCTCAATCTGGTTGCCCAAAGTAAATGTTTAATTGATATAATACTTACATTTTCCAATAATATATTTCTTAAGGCGAAAACCGCAGTGCAGAATAGAACGACTAACCCAAAATATTACGAACAAGTGTCCATGGTCGATATTTTTCCGAATGCGAGTCGAATACGCCTCGACATCTGCTCCTCGGACGATAGTTTTAAGAAGCCCATCGCAAGCGCACAATTGAATTTGGAAAATATATCGCACGACGGCGAAAACGGTAAAAGTATTGTTAGACGTAGCTGTTGTGTAGCTAAATGACATACAAGTATACGTGTCATCTGTATTGCTGTGTTGTTTCGCTGGGTAGAGAGTGATAAGGACGAACAATATGATAACTTAAGCCTCTTATTATATATTTTTTTTAATTAGTACAAAAAAATCTATTAGTCTTACACGGGCGAATCGGTTTCTGATTCCGTTTCACTAAACGGTTCTTTTACAGGCTGTGCCCTGCCCGACCGAAACAATCGGTTGTTTCTCCGGAATTCAAACTCAGAACATTTCATCGGTCAACAATTTTATATAAATAGATTTTTTATTATTTGTTTTGACACTAAGAAATTACTTATATATACTTTACATAAATTACTATAACACACCTTAACAAATGTTGAAAAGGATATCATAGTATTCAAAATATAGTTTTGACAATGTCCGCTAGAACCTGTAAATATTAGTAACAAATATATATTCTACAAAATAGTACGACCGGCTATGTTTATTTGGAAAATGTATTTATAAATCCAGGCTAGCCTTTCAACGATGTATTGAACAGTTTTCCATTCAAAATCAACGTATCAATTACAAAGGACATACGATATTGTATTGGGCTCGAATATATCTTTCATTGGTGAAGTTTCGTATAATAGAGCGAAAACCTTTGTATTGGGATATTTTGTTCGACCGTTTTTGAACATATTGTTTTCAAAAGGGCTATAATTAAGGCAATGTTTTATCGTTTATATTCTGTGAAAAGTATTAAATTAATATTGTGTACTCCTTTTTCATTGACCGCCTCTATAGCCCAATGGTTAAACATTGTTCAGCAATGCGTTTAAGCGCGGGAGATCCTGGGCTCGAATCCCAGGGAAACGAAACATTGTTTCTGTTAGGCAGGACACAGAAGTCTGATCAACGACTTGCCTGGACACAGGAATGTGTTCGCCCCATGGCCCACGAGGGGGAAACGGGATTCATTACATTGTGTTTGTATATGGTGTTATCTATTAGCCGTTATGTTATTATTGGTTAAAGTGTGCATTGCGTTAAGCGCGAGAGGTCTAGTTCGAATTCCGGGAAAACAATAAATTTAACTTTTTGACACGCAAATATATTCACCCCATGTCCCACGGGGAGAAACTGGATTTCACTTATCTACCAGGTGGTAGTTCTTTCAGGTTTTATATTTGTTTATTTATTTTGTTATTTAAGCGACTACGTAAAATAATGGGTTTTTAATTAGATTCTTATATATTGCTTTCTTATATTGCGCATAATGGGCTTTGGGGGTTTCAAAATGGTCCCATTCCAAATTACAAAAATATTTATCAATTAATTTCTTAATATTTCTCTAAATCCAAACACGTATTAATTTTTACGAAGTATCGTTTTAGTTTACTGTTTTACATCGGTTGTATTTTGTTGAAAATTATTTTTGTTAAAACTCCCACGATTCTAGAAAATTAGATACGAAACACCATTATTTTGTTTCACATATTTATAATTAGAACGGGAAATAATGTAAATGTGTAGTTTTTTAAAGGCAACCATCTTCGTGGGGTAATGGTTGCATAGCATAGATAGGTTAATCAAAGGGGGTTCCTGAGTTTGAATCCCGGGAAATCACGCATAATCTGATCCCGATAAATAACTTACCTGTTGTTACCTATACTTTTCTTTATGGGTTTTATCATTGATGAAGTTTTTTTTTATATTTCCAATGTTTCAGGGTTTCTTCCAACCTTCGGGCCTTCATTGCTTCATATGTATGGAGCGAGCTGTGGCCTGGCTGCTGGTGATACAGGGCCCTACCTTCGCGGTTCTCTACTAGTATCTCTTAATACCATAGTGCCTTATTACCAACATAATATTAGAAGTATCAATATAGAACCTATTGCACCTTTGAAACAGGTACAAATGTATGTCCCTTAATAGCTAGATTAAAAAAAAATGTTTTTTTGCAAGGGTTTCATTTTTTATATGTGTGTCTATGGTTAATTATTCAGGAAAATTGTCTAAAAGATGCAGGTCTTTAGGTACCTACTTATATCCTTTAAATTGAAATAAAACACTTTTAACGGTTTTATATCGCGGAATATATTAGTCACAGTTTCGATTGCGATACACTTTAGATCGCCATGCATCTCGCTGACCTCTACCTTATAACTTATCGGTCGGACGCTAAGATATGTCTTCGTCGTGTCTAATTTATTTTGTTATCGAAGTTTTGCATTTTTCAGGAAGGACTATGGAGAACAGAGGAAATTTGTCTTTTTTGCCCAATTTTGGAAGTTTCGATGTTAGACCGTCGTATAGTTGGGAAGTTTTGTGGGGTCGCTGTGACATTTGGTGAAATTCCAACTACACAGATGGAAAATGAAGGTTTTATTCGTTTTACCTACTAATAACTAACTACCCTCGCCACCAACTGGTAGCTTTGTTTGTTCAGTGGACTTGAATCACAACGTTAATATTTCTAAATGCCTAAAGTAATTTTCAAGCTTCCGAAATTTGAAGCTTCGGGTCTAAAATACTAGGTGTTGGAAGTATAAAAAAAATATATAATCGCTAATTATTCACGATAATTGCCCTATACCTCGCGGGAGTAGCGCGGTGAATTTAAGCACTTACACCAATCAACAAATTGTATTGATCCAAAATTATTTGTTCATTTACAGGCTTCTTGTCAATGATGACCGCAATACGTAAGTATAGAATTATGTAAATGTACAATACAAGTAACAAAATTTAATTATCTTGAACATTGCATTCAATTTGAGTAACTCTATTCCGACATTATACTAATACATTTAACCTTACTTAACAACAAAATCATAGTATTTTAGTCAACAAGTGTTAGCACACTTTTTAAATATAGAATAGGCTTCCACTGGCCTCCATTTTACATCGGGTAGCTTGGTAATGGTACAAACGGTTCCCAGTGCTCGAAAGAACCGTAGATGGTGGTGTGTTTATTGGTTCTGGTCAACTCTTGCCTTTGGTAGAGTTGGCCAGCCACTGCCACCTCCAAAATAGGGGGTAGTCGATTTAGTACTCTCTCCACGTAACGCTTGACGTCGGCATGAATTAAGCATTCCCATCATCTGTAAGAGAGGCTTCATCTTGCATGGATAAAAAAGGCTCCTAGAGACAGAGTGGCCTAATAATAAAAAACATGAACATCAATAAGGAGGAAAACAAACTTGGCGATAATGAATTTGTGCTATGGTGTAAGAATTATATTAACACTTTTTGGTCACTGTGCTCTTGTAGATTAACATTTTAGGACTAAAAAATATAAATAAGTCAAGTTATAAAATTGCAGTTAGGCCACTCTGCCTCTAGTGGCCTCAATTGTTCCTCAAACTCCTTTCTTTAGCGGGATCAATGACGCTTATATTAGAATGTGTCACATACCCCAAACGACGCGGTTTTTGCAATATTAGGTACTCAGTAAATATATTTCATAATATGATAAAATGTCAACCACCAGGATCCCAGAAGTACCACTACACTGGCTGTTTGAATGTAATAAAAACGCAGCCCTATGGTTATTTGGACTTATCCAGCGCATTTCCTGTGCTACAACTAGCGACATATTTGCCAGACTTCAGATTCCGAATGTATAAACACAACATGATTGAGAAAATTGTCGATTGTTTGGTAATAATGGGTTTAAATATTATCTGTAGTTCAAGCGAGTAGTGCACATTTAAATAAAACACTTTAACGGTTTTGACGTTTCGTTTGCTTTGCAGCAGTCCTGGTCACGGGGAGGTCACGAAACGTTGAGGCGTAGTTAAAAATAATTTTCAAATAAGTTTAACTAATATATATCGCGTTTTAAACCGTTAAAGTGTTTTATTTAAATTACGGTTTTTCAAGTTACAGTTAATCAAGTTAGCCTAAAAAAAGGCCAAAAGCGGGCTATGCATGTATTTGTGAACACGTCCTAATGAAAATAAAAACTCGTTATCTACTAATTTTTATTTGGCAAGTGTGATGGGCCTTAGTGGTGTAATGGTAACAACTTATGGTAATAATCAGTGTGGTTTGGTTCCCAACCGGGTCCAAGATGTATGTATATGTAGTACCTAATATATCGCGTTTTAAACCGTTAAAGTGTTTTATTTAAATGTGTACTACTCGCGTAAACTATAAACAGTTTGTATCTACTTAGTTTATTGGATATATACAAAATGAATTAGTATTTAAAATATCTGTATAAACAGATTTTACCATTATCAACCGAATGGTTCCCACTGTTTTTCCCACAAGTGAAAATTTTCAGGAATCGAATTTGAAAGCGATCGAACAACACATAAAATTTAAAAACAGGTCTAATGATGAAATATTTGAGAAAATCAACAACTCCTTAAGTGATACGGGATGTAGTATTCTTCATTTCCTGGAACTACTAGGATTATGCGAAGATAGTTGCAATGCCATCAAATCACAGTATAGCACGGAGTTTGATAAAAAGGAAGTAAAGTTACAGAAAGAAGAAATGGCAAGTAATCTATACTAATAGATAATTTGTTTGTTTAAACGCGTTAATCTCAGAAACTGCCGATTTGAATTGAAAAATTATTTTTGTGTTAGAACGTTTCTCAAACACCCTCAAACAAAAACTATCTTTAAAACAAACACCTTACAAAGATAGAGATTTAAATAAAATAATAACCATGTTTAGTATGACAGTCCTGTTCTTTTATCTAAAATTAAACTTAGGATTCACAGGAAGTACCCCCGTTTTCCCATTAAACCTTTTGCCGTTCCATTTTTTCTAACCGTCCTTGGCTCTCTAAATTTTGTAAATTAATGACTACATATTCGTCTCATTTAGACCGTTTCCATCTATCGTATTACCGGTTTCGTCGGCTGCTCAAACTTACTTTAGAAAAAACTTAATAAGAATACGAAGAAATTGAAGAAATATATTTACCTATTTTTAGTTAAATAATTGTACCTTAACTTTACTTTTGTCTCACTCTGTTTAGACTGTAGTACACTATATACCTTATATAGTTTGTACCACACACCATGTTGGTTTTATGCATGTAGTGCCTACCTTAAATAGGATATGCAGATAGCTATACTCTATATATTGTTAATACTATATATTCATACTCTGTAATACCCGCTGGCGAGCCTTTTTTTAAATAAATAAAAGAAAGACTGTAATATATTGCGCTATGGCTATGACGGGACGAAACCGAGGTCGTGGGTAACAGCTTAGATTTTTAAAGGTGAAGAGGAAGCTTGCAAGAACATTATGGATGTTTAAAATAACTATTCTAAGCGCACCAAGTCGCTGACATGGCTAGTACCTAATGTATACACCTTGCTGGTCACTCGCAATTGTAAATAAGTTTACTATGATATTAGGCATTTTAAAACGTTTAAAGTGTTTTATTTAAATATGTACTACTCGCGTAAACTACAATACTTGTGTGTTTTATTACAAGTGTTTTTATTAAAAATATAGTAGTAGCATATATGTATTATTTTACCGCCTCTACGGATCAATGGTATTTATTATGTTAAGATATTTTAGGTTCGATTCCGGTGAACAATACTAACAAGGAAAATTGACTTTTTTAGAGTATTGTTCAAAGTATTCGGTTGTTCCCGCGAGTGGTTAAATAACACACTTTAATTGGTTTAAAATGCGAAATAAACCGCCTATTTTCATATTTCTAAAAAAAAGGCAAACTAAGAAGCCAGGACGAAAGTCCCAACTTATGTAGGCCAAGATACTTACGCCTACGAAATTTGTTGATTCAAATACTGAGTATTATTAAATTGTAATAGCGTATAGTTGACAAGTTGCTTCAAACAGAAATACATCCAATTTAAACTTTGCAATAAAGTTGAGGCCACTTTATAACAAGCTACGTAAAGTTCAGTAGTGGACTCGTCATTAATTAGATATCGATTTTACTCAACTCGAAGGTTAAACACACACATGGAAACGCATAAGAAAAGAGTGACTGAAGAAAAGCTGAAGAGTTTGTATGTTTGAACGGGCTAATCTTTGGAATTGAAAAAATTTTGTTATGTTGGTATAGGGCATGTATTGAGGAAGGTTATAGGCTATAAAAAATTGCGCTTAGAGTAATAAGAGAAAATAGAATAAGAAAAAGCATGAGTGTGGAGAAAACGGGGAAAATTATTTACCTCAGTGGGTATCCGTTACGTACGCTGCGAAAATGGTTCAAGATACCCACAAAATTTGTATGAATTAATGAGAATAACAATGCTATCTTATTTAATGATCTGAAAAAATGTCCGTGATACTATCAAGTTCATCTTGGCGACGACGGGACTCAAACGACGCCGTGGGTCGTGGGCAATATTGATGTTCAAAATTTTACGCCGACGTAGTCACTGACGCAGCTAGTATTTAAATAAAACATTTTAACGGTTTAAAACGCGATATATATTTATTAGAGTTGTTGGAAAATTATTTTAATTAATATAATACCTTCAAAGTGTTATATTTAAATGTGTACTACTCGCGTAAATTAAAGATAGGACTTATGTAATTATTTTATTTTATGTAAGAGGTGGACAGACAACTGGTTCACTTGATGGAAGATAAAATACATAACATTGAAAGCTGGTATCGACCTATTTCGTTCCTGAGATTTTATGAGCACTCAAGCAAACAAACTCTTAAATACTGTCTATAGTTTACGCAAGTTTAACTAATATATCGTTTTAAACCGCTAAAGTGTTTTATTTAAACAAATTCTTCAGCTTCATAATATTAGTATAGATTAAAAATTAATAAGGCATCGTGGTATTTATTCTTAATAGGAAGAAATTTACCAGCGTATTTCCGAGACCAAGGTAGAGAGTTCCCGATCGTTCTATAAGCCTTCAAGAACGGGGCTCACGGTTGCAAAGAAAGCAGTGAAGTTATTGTTATCGAAAGCGCAAGTCATAAAGGATAGCTTGAAGAAAATAATCTTAAACGTGAGAACCTTCTTTCCTATTTTTAGACTGTTATTACTTTGTACCGAAGTATTTTTACGATAGAAGTGGATAAATAAAAATAAGCATGGGGCTTATGGTACGTGTAGAACAACAGCGTAAACGATCTAAACAAGATGCGCAGTCGGCCTATTTCGGCTTTGGACATTTCCATTTGTGGACCTATTTCCGAAAAATTATAAATTGTTTAAAAACATGTTGGAGACAGTGGGGATGGACCCACGATCGCTTGATTGCCATTGATAGCCATACATTGCTACAATTAGACAAAAAGTCCGAAGGCATATTAGGTAGGTATATAGTGTGCTAGTTTATGCTTGAAAAAAAAAACAAATTTCGAAGAAAAAAATCAAAGAGACCTCAGCGCGTAATACGCATTGTCTAGTGTTTAGCTAATTCGCGAAGTCCTTACGAATCTCAGCAATATTAATAAAAGTCAATTTAAATAAAACACCTTAACGGTTTAAAACGCGATATATTAGTTAAACTCATTTGAAAATTATTTTTAACTTCGGCCCGACGTTTCGGATGCTTTGCAGCAGCCGTGGTCACGGGGAGACATATTAAAAATAATTTTCAAATAAGTTTAACTGATATATTGCGTTTTAACCGTTAAAGTGTTTTATTTAAATGTGTAGCAATATTCGCTAAACTACTTTTTTAATAATTTGCAATAAGTATTTTTTTAAATTAAAACGAATAATTTAATATTATACTGTGCACTATAAGAACAAAAATTATATCTATTTGTATGTATATAAAATGTACCTGAAACTACAAAATAATATGTCTAAATGGGTAAATCAATTACGTTTCTAGGACCTTCACGGTTGGCCTGATATCATTATTTGGCTACTTAACGATGGATCAAGGGTGGCATATGCAAAAATGCCACCACGCGATCTTATATACTCATCAATACCAGAGCAAATGGGGACAAACTGTGGAAAAATTCAGACAGTACATTTGAAGGTTTGTACAAATTAAAGTATAGTTCTCATCTACAAAAATAACGTGAGGGCTTATTTCTTAGTTTCTATAATATAGGCTCTTTTACTTTTAACTTCTGGCTCTTAATTTAAACTCGCTAAGGATGTAAACATATGGACCTGGTGGGAATTAAACTAACGACCGATTGGTTAGCTATGTCTTTTCAAAACCTTGTTATTGTGACATATTATTGCACATGACAGCATTAGAATACGGTAAACTTGTATTTGAAATGAAAAAATCGATGACACGGACGGGACTTGAACCGGCATCAGGCGGTCGTGCTGCTCCTCTAACCAAATGAGCAGCAGATAAATCTCTTGGACTGAAAAAATCGGTTATATTCTTCGATCCGAATAGATTTTTCATTTTGTCGCGCATTGGCCATCACTAAATGTTAATTATAATGCCATTATTTTAATTTTCTTTGCCCCAGTTACAGTCAAACCTACATCCAGTTACTGATGATTATAGTCTTATCACTCTACCGATAAAAATGCTTTACTTCGTTTACAGCCCGTAAAATGTCCGTATCATCCCAGCGCGCTGAACGGCTGTTCCTGCGTAGTGGGAAGGGTAGAATTGCTGTTCTGGCTCGGCACTTATTCAGAAAAATCTGCTTTCAACCATTATCTACCACCTGGGTATACACTGAGACAAAAGAACTACGACATGTGTTTGAAGTCTCCGTCACTAGTAGGTTATAGCATCTAAACAAGATGCGCTATCTATTTTGGATATTCGGAAATCCACTGATTTAAACCGAAACGCGATTGAGCTTCACGACTTTTTCATCAGTGGACGGTGGTTCGTGACGCGGATGGAATTTCTTTACTCCTACTACCTACTTACATGTTTCAGAAAAATTATCATTAGACCAAAGAGTCAAAAATAATAATCATATGCCCATATATTATGACTACTGTGGTAGATATAGAACGTATAAATTTGTAATTTTTATCTATATCTATACTAAATAAAGCTGAAGAGTTTGTTTGAATATAGTTAGTATATATAGATAGTTATAGATTATAAAATATTGCACTGAGAATGAAATAATGAGTCCTCTTAAAATAATCTTAAAAATGTAAGTACGTGACACTATATGTCAAGAACGACGCGACGCGACGGACGTCGTAACATAAACTTTTAAAGATGAAGAGGAAGTTTGCAAAAAACAATATTTGTCAACATAACTACGCAACGCGGGCAAGTCGCAGTCGCAGACGCAGCTAGTAATTTCGCTAAGCCCGAATAACAGCGATGGGGAAATTAAAACCTGCTATCTAATTCAACAAAACATCTCTTGGACAGTGTAATACCCGTTCTAAAGCTTATAATAAGATAGCTTTCATATTTACATCAAATTCTAGATGATCGAATGCCGTGCTTTTATACACAAAGCTAAAATAAACAGCAGTTCACCAATATACAACCGTGGGAAGTTATTTGTCAGGATTAATATTTTCAACGCGTCTAAGGAGTCAAAGGTTTCTGTTATGTTATATATATATGTATATGTTGATATTATTCAGTCACTTTAAAAAAGCGAGGTTCTCAATTCGATTCCTGTTTATGCTTTTTGTGTTTTATTCGCTTATATATTTATTATCTTCTTATATTTAACATTTTAAATACTTAGTACTTGGTCGGTCGAAGGTCGAGATGTCCCGGGTTCGAATCCCAGGGAAACAAAAAAAAATGTCGTCAGAAGTCTCATCAACTACTTGCCTGTTAAAGAACGGATCAGTGAGACGAACAAAAAAATGTGTTCGCCCCATGCCCCACGAGGGGGAAACGGGATTTCACTACTACACTATGTATTGCTATTTCTTCCATTTACTTTACGATCTGAAGTTAGTTATTTTTGTTTAAAAATATTGTATGTCCTTAATACAACAGAAGCTACTTATATATTATTTATTCTCGTCTGTCTATTCGTTTGATATCGAAGCATGGAGCAGATATATTTTTATTACAATTACATGCCTAGTTAAAGCTAACAAACTAATTAAATTTAAATAAAACACTTTTAACTGTTTAAAAAGCGAAATCTATTAAAATTAGTTTAACTAATACATTTTGCGTTTTAAGCCTTTAAATTGCAGGCTATATTTGAATTATTATATGACATTGTCAGGTTATAATAAATACGGAATCATCAGTTTGGAACCAGGTCTTGAAAATGCAAAAAATTATCTCAATTTCACCAGAGAGGTTGTGGACTAGCCCTCCAATGGCATCGGTCGAAGTCAATTTTGTGGACATGTCGGTAAATAGTATAACAATCAATTTAATATTGGGAATGGCCCTAGGTTTTATGTAGAAGTCTAATGATGCCTTTTAAGAGATAAAATAACATTTTTAGGACCACGAGTTTTGAATGTGTGTATATGATTTGGCAAGTAATTTTATAATCGTCTTCAATTTTTGAATTCTTTATAGATATAATATTTTCGGCGGTGAATATTTTGTTATAGGGTAAAATAGAGGTAGTCGGCCGGGTGTTAGTGAAATGTTCAGTGGATGATAGACAAGAATACGAGTTTGCGCCAAGACTTGAGTGGTACGATTTATATAAAGGGCCAGAATGCACTGGACAAATTTTTATGTCCATGCAGATAATACAGGTATCCTAAAATATAATAATTACCATCTTTACTTAGATTGAAAGATAGAGTTATAATAAGAGGTATTTATTTCCTAAAAAACTGGATTTATTGTATTATTATCATTAATAAAAAAAGGTTTTACTGCTTATAAAACTGCCATCTATCGTTAGTTGTATGTACCTCGTTGATATCTCATATTTCGCTATATTTGCTGTTAATGCTTCTACGTGGATGCAGAAAACCATCAGTAATCTATTGATAAAATAATATTTGTCAATAAAACAATATTATAAAGTGCATAATACAATTAATTATTATTATGTATATACTTAAACAAAATTGCAGTGAATTCGGTTTCTATTTATTTACTTTAACGCCATCTCTTAGTAATCATACATATTACATCATCATTCAAGCAACTTCAAGTAATATCATTCATATGCCCGACATAATAAGATAGTTAAAAGTAATCATATCTAGGTGGCAGTTTTTCAAATATACTAATACCCATATAATTTTCATGAAATCAACAGATAATTGAGAAGTTAATGAAATCAACGATATACACTCCACTTGAAGATTCCTTTGTTGTTGCTGGTGTGAAAGATATTGAGACAACAGAATTAATCGAGCCTCTACCTATTAATTTAATTCCTGCCATGGCAACTTACAAGTGAGTTTGATACCAACGGTGCGATATCATTTGTAGCTGGAACAAAGTTGACCTTCCCGTCTTGTCATGTCACTTTTTTAATAGAACTTAGTCTGCACTTTATATAGGATACTTTACAAATTTTACATAATTTTAATCATAAGAAGCTTTTATTTGCTTTTATCTACTTTCAGAAAGTAAAATTGCCACTTAATATTTTTGTCAATACACTTTGCCATTCCCATTAAAAGTGCTTAAGTAATTACTAACTTTGTTTAAACTAGAGATGAATGTTTTGAGCTGAAATCCTGAACTGAATTTTTGATAAATTTCGACTCTCATTTTTTTCATTAACACCAACAGTACTAATTTTTATTTTTAAACACCCAATTATAAACACGATATGATGCGTGTTTAATTTGATCGGAGTTTGAGCGAATGTATCTATGGCTAATAATCATTATAATAAAATGGTCGTGGTTTCGAAGCTCACCGGATCCAAAATATGTCTAATTATATATTTTTCAACCATGTCAGATTTCTTCTTTAAAAAAGAAAAATGAATAGGTGGTAGGAATATCAAAACTCCGTCACAAAATACCAGTAAAGTTTAACGGCATTTCGGTTTAAGTCTTCGGATTTCCAAATATCCAAAAACAAAATAGGTTGACGGGTGTCAACCTGGTATGAATTCACCTTCCATCAAGTGCACCGCGTTTGTCTGTCCTCTATAAATAAAACCTTACGCTGTATGTGAACACTAAGGACAAGAGAATAACATGACTCTATGACAATTTTATTAGATGTTTTAAACACCATCGTCATTGTTATAATTATAAATATACCTTAAGGCCTCATTTTATTGTGCAACTGTTTAAAATAATGATTCTTTAACAGGGTACAAACAGATCGCAGGAGCGACCCACGGTTCTGAGATCCGTTTCGAACGAATGTAGGGCCATCCCTATTTCATACTTCAAGTCTGAGATTCGTAATATTTTCCAGAGTCGATGTTTACTGGTGGGGCTTACGCGATGTAAATATAACGAGAAAACCCTGCGTCACTTTGGAAATAGATAAAATGACCTTGAAATCCGAAGTAATTTCTGATAGACAAGTTAATAGTAATTTTCCAAAGGGGCGTCATTCGCAAATATTTGAAGCTCCTCTCAATGACGACTACTGCCCGCTTGTCAATATTCGTTTACTTGATAGCAGCACTTTTGGAAGAACTTTGTATCTTGGCGCAAACACTGTTAAGAGCGCGAAGAAATTCATGGTGGAATGGCTAGAGAAAGACGAACGAGAATCTTCTATTCATAGAACATCTATTGCATCTTCGGATTTCTTTCAAGGTACGACATAATATGAGGCTGCTAGAGGCACAGTGGCCTAATAACATACGACAAATATATTAGAGCAATCCTAATAACAAAAAACATGATTTTATTAAGGAGGAAAATAAAAATGCACAATTAACTTATGCGCTACTGTTTGTGTAAAGTTATGTAAACAATTGTCGATCATTGTGCTCTTGTAGATTAACATTTTTAGACTATGAAAATATACCTAAATAATTCAAGTCATAAAATTGCAGTTAGGCTACTTTGCCTCTAGCGGCGTCATATATAGATATAGTTAGGCGTAGGTGAAGTAGGTAGTTTAAAGTTCTAACTGATTCACTAACCCATGTCGATAGGGTTAGTAATCCCGTTAACTTTACTGTTTAGATATTTAAAATCAAATGAATATCTTAAACCTACGCAGATCACAGAAATAACAAGTAAACCAATAAAATATTTTCTTAAATTACATATTTTTAACTGCACTAAAACAGCGATCATAGCTCATGACGTCATTTGTGGGCAATCATCCTTTCTTGCGACCGGCAAATATGACCACATATGACGTCACGCTACCTACTCATGGCGTGGTGTTTTGCCGGTATATAAACATTAAACTACCAGTTATAAAAAAGTATTTTATCAATATAATTACTTTATAAACACGAGTAATTCTTATTTTTTAGAAACAATTTATATGGAAAACAAAAGTTCTTGTAAATTAAAAATTGATTATAGATTTTAAAAAATACGACACGGGCATGACTTGACCTACCGTGTCCTACACGTCATCGTCGATTTTTCAACCTATATTCATGCACCTCTGGCGCAATGTGATTTCAACCTTAACACTAAAACCTACAAAGGTGTACATTAATTTTGCAGTCAGCCCAAACGTGTGTATGAAGAAATGTCAATCAAGGGAGAATTTGAACAGCGCTTCCAATATATCTCTGAATAATATTCGTAACCGACGCTCAAATTGGCAGAGACTATGCTGCAATTCTGAACTGGATGAAGAAGAATACGTTTTGCTGCCAGTCAACAGTGTCAGGAACAAACAACCTCGCACTAAGTATAACTTACCTAAACAAAACGGGTGGTGGTCTAGATACTTACTGTCTCAGGAGGTATGTTTACCATCTTCAATTATTATCTATAACATGATTATACTCTTCACCAAGGATAAGAACACAGTTTACATGCAGAGTATTGTACTTTTGTTATTTTGTATAAGAAAAAGTAACTATAGCAAATGGACTAGAAGAAAAACAATTTCCTTATAATCTCGTATAAGTGTCCTGGGTTTGAAACCCAGGAAAGCATAGATTTGTATTATTTGCAGTTTAAACGAGTAGTAAACATTTAAATGTAACACTTTGACCGTTTAAAACGGGAAATGTATTAGCTTATTTATATATTGTTGAAACTACAGCCCGAAGTTTCGCACCCTTGAGCACAGCTGCCTTTAAACCGTCTAAAGTGTTTTATTTAAGCTTAGTTTCGGTTGGATTGGGCATAGAAGCTTGTTCTATTTGGCTGTAAATATTAAGTTTTGTGGATGCTTTACTTTTTCCATTGTATGGTTTTAATTGTATAACTATTAATTATATATTTATCAATTATCAAATATATTTGCAGTGTTTATTGTGTGACGAGAAAATCAACATTGGATTAACTGATAAAATAATGGTTGGTGTTTTGTTGCCTTAGACAAAAACCTTATTTATGCTCTGTTTACTATTTCGATATACGCTAATCTCTACAATAAAACGACAAAATGATGAAATGCATTTTATAAATTACGAACGTTTACTTGTCTATAGCTTAGTTATTATGTTCATTGAAATATAACCGGGATATATTACCAACATCAATACAAAAAGGAAAGCAATAACTTTATATGCATCCTGTCAAGACTATAGTAACTTTAGTTTCTAGATTATTTATTATCTGATCCGGCAAACACAGACAAAAATAAATAAATTGTTACAAATCTTATTCTCTCTTGTTGGTCGCAGCGCGATGTTGTATAGCCTAGATAAATTGTCAATCCCACACAAAAAATCAGTTCGAACCAATTGTTAGCGTATTTAAACAAACTCTTGGACTTTATAATATTAATATATATTAGTATTTAGTATTTTATTGGGTTGTTCAGAAAGTCATTTCGTTTCTTTTGGGGAACATGATAGACAGTTATCGTACAATGAATAAATATTAGAATACCTTTTGCCATCTCGTGTTTCTCTCGTTATTCGCCGATTTGCATCAACTAATGCCTTTATCGCATCTTTGTCGGCTTCGACCGGCCTTCCAGACCGTGGTGCATGTTCGACATCAAAATTGCCGGATCAAAATTTTGCGTCAATTTTTTCCTCGCTTGGACAGACAGCATTTTTACCTTTTCTGAAGTAAAATATGACGAAAATGCTGCTTATTGCGCCCCATATTTAAAAGGGCACCAACCAAAAACTACTGTGTAGAATTAATAGAACCTTTTCACACACAAGCCTTGCAGTATCAACTCTCAAGACATATAATGGTTATGCGGCTGAAGTGTGAAGTTAGTTTCGAAAAAACGTAATTAAGTCCTCTGACGGGAAAAAACGAAATTACTTTCCGATCAACCTATTATTTTATGCTTTTGTAAAATCTATAGCCATAAGTCCTTACAGACATATCCTATATTTAGCTATAGATAATATAACTATGACAGATTATAATTAAAACATTTCCACAGATATACGACACCGAATTGGAAGGTCAACCACAGTTTTCGAAATTCAAAGATTGGTGTTCCACTCTTAAATTGTATTACGACGACAAGAAGATCGTTGAACGGGATAAATTATATTGCGGACTTTTAAAAGCTGGTGTTGTTATATACAAATGGCCGCCACCGTCCAATACTATTGCAGTTAGTTCAAGTGGAGTTGATTTGACTAGAGGGTATTTTATCTTTTATACGTCATAGTTTTAATAAAAACAGATGGTATAAAACAATAGTATATAAGAGGTCATAGATAAAAAAAAACATTTTAGAATAGGAATTCGTAAATAAAAGTTAAAGCGGCTTTTTTATTCAATACTGAAATAAATAAATACATTTTTTCAAATTAATGTATGCGTATTACACACTTACATTATGCTCTTTTATAAGCAATTAAAAAAAAAAGTGAAATTATAAATGAAAAAAGGCACGCGACAAAGTCATAGTAAAAGCTAAAGACGACAGCAAACAGACAAGAAAAAGAGGACCATCTACCTCACCTTTGGGTTATAACAACCAACCAAGGAAAACACAGGCAGATCTAACTTTCTCTCAACGAAAATAACTACACAACAATAACAACCAAAAATTGGCAAGTGGAAACCCCAACCAAACCAAGAGCGTCCTAGAACGACAAACCAAAAAACCAACAAACTCCCCCAAGCCGACTGGTCCTCGTGGGGGAAAATGACTACAACCCTCCAACAATCATCAGCAACCATGACATTGAAGTCCTAAACAGTAGCCTCGAAATATACATAGCGGCCCTTAATGTTGGTACCTTAAGGGCTTTACTAAGAAGATGGGAAAGCCTTACGGAACTTGTTTATGTACTAGGCCCGCTAAAATGGGACGTAATTAATTGGTTTGCGCGAGGTGAAGAATGGGACATATGGTCAGCATTAAGTCTTAGTTAGAGAATAAATTTCTTTTAACACTTTCAAATGCGAGTTACATTAGTTAAATTGTTTACAATTTACTTTTACCACGACAATTTTGTTGCTTTATAATTACTTTAAATGAAGTTTTGTTTAAAATGCGAAATATTTGCATTACTCTCTCTCGCATAAAGCTACATGCTACTGTAGCCTAAATTATATGTTTAGCTACTTTGTTATTTATTTTCAGTTTCTTTGACGACCACCCGAATAACGAGCCAGCGAAATTTCTAGTTCGTGTTTATATTGTAAAAGCGCTTAACTTGAAAACTAAAGAGTTTGCCGGCAAATCTGATCCCTATACTGTGGTCAGTTGTGGCAAGAAACATTTTGGAAATCGTGCCAACTACGTACCGAGCACACTGAATCCGGTGTTTGGAAAGTACGATATCATTTTTCTCCTTTCAAGTACTATCTTTACTATTTTCATTAGCCCTTATAGTAGCCCTGCAGGGGCTGATCCTCAATGAGGGTAAAAGGGGATAACGGAGTATAGGGCACAATTACTAAAGTGCATGTACATTTACATAAATTCTTAGTAAAGAACTTCGATGTCCGGACTTTCTTCCTTACCTCAGATTGGACAAACAAGTCACATACATTAATATGCGACAAACTGAGTGGCTATTCTTAATTTTTCCCTTAAGACTATAGGATATATCTTTCCAGAATGTACGAATTTCGCTGCAACCTGCCCGAAGATTATATGATATCCATTTCATTGTACGACTTCAATGCCATACCCCCTGACGAGTTAATTGGATCCACTTCAATAGATTTGGAAGATCGCATTTACTCTAAGCATAGGGCTCGAGTAGGTCTCGCGAAGCAGTTTAGTTTGTAAGGAAAATTGCAATTAGCCATAAACATTTTTTTCTTCAAACCTGCTTGGAAAGCATTATTTTGACAACCTTTTTCGACATAAATCGAACTTACTGTACTGGTCGAGCAGCGGCTGCCAATAGTTGTGTGAAAATCCATAACTGTTGTTTTTAGCGGCCAAATAAATTATTATTTAAAATCATTTTTGTCATGCCATTTAAAAATGGAACAATATTCTACTACAATATGGCGACCAAAGAGGTAACGAATCAAAGGTTTTATTTAAATTTCAAACTGGCTTGCATATGCTGTTTAGTGAAAAAAAAATAATACTTTGGTGCGAAAAAAACTATTTTTATTTATTTGAGCATCTTTTGAGACACGTATTGTACAATCCTTGGCCGTAATTATGCTTGGATGGACTTCCGTATTCACACATTTGTCCATAAAAGTCATATCTTAACCGCCGCTGCAGTACTGTCTCATTAACAGAAGCGAACCATTAAAATGGCGAGACTCGAGAAAACCATCGACAATACTCGAAGAATTATGTCACACGAATCATTTGCCGTCACCCATGTTCCTGGATGCGAATACTGTTATGGTTAACGGAGTAAAATATGTCGACGAGAGTAACGAAAGAGGTTTGATATTTATTTTGCATCTAATTTTATATTTGTGAGAGAATCAGCTTTACCATGATGGTATGATCCTTGTTTTAGCCCTGCCCGAAATCGAACCAAAAAGGGTAGGGGTTTTTTTTAAAATTATTTTGTGTATATATAGTTCTTAAAGTAAAGAACTTCAATAAGTTAGGTAAGGTTATTAAACATTAAGTTTAATATTCCATTAACTTAAATATTTCTTTTATGTAAACTTTAAACTACATTCTTTACTTACTAAAGCAACGGCAAAGTATACAAAACGTCGAGCCGTAGTTTAAATAAATTGTAAATAAGGAAACTAATATATTTTGCGTTTTAAACCGTTTCAAATGTGTATAATTTGCGTAAACTACTGACAATACTTTACAGACGAGGTATATAAAAATATTTGTATTTATTAATAGAATACAAGTCATAGTTAATTTGTGTGTTTTTTTCTAGGAAATAGTCTTTCAACCATAGAGAAAAAAGAAAATTTGTGCCTAAGCATTTTGCACAAGTGGCATATGATTCCAGTCTGTGGTTACTCTTTGGTTCCTGAACACGTTGAAACGAGAACTCTATACAGACACGAGACACCTGGTGTAGAACAGGTATAATGTATATTAAATGAAGTAACTACCTCAAGAGGTTGAATGAGTGAATTTTAGAACTATTGAGAAAACCATAGAGATATAAGTATTGAAATTCTATACTTATTGTCTGTAGTTTACGCGAGTAGTACACATTTAAATAAAATGCTTTTAACAGTTTAAAACGCGTAATATATATACTTATTTTCAATTTATTTAAATTGCGGCCCACTAAATGTACTACCCGATGCAGGCCTTAACCAACCAACAGAACTAAGAAACACATCGCGCTTATAAAACATAAACGTATTTCCAAATTTGTATGCCAGCACTTATTAAGGCCCAATCGTCAATAGAAAGTCGTTTTTTTAATGGTACACGAAGCAATTAAAATCAAGAAACACCCAAATTTTAATAAAGACGGCCTTAGTTATAATCCTATATTAAAAAAAACTAAATTCCAAAAAAGAGTACCACTAAACCAGAGGACACCGTGAGTCAGTTCTTTAAGGGCCCAGCTAGTTCCTTTAACCAACGACAAAACAGATGGCGCTAGCAGTTTTAACTTTGATATTAGGGATACCGCCCATCTTCTGTTTTCTTCCAGACCGCGGCTACTGCAAAGCATCCGAAATATTGGATTTCAATAAAAACATAATTAAACGAAAATAGGTTTGGGGTTGTCCATTAATGACGTGATCTTTTTCTTGAAGTCGTGGATTCGATGCCCACCAGGTCCAACATGTTTTGCTTTCAGTCTGTAGATCCGAATATCCAAAGGCAAAATAGGTCGACCTCGCATCTTGTTCAGATGCGGTAGGCTGGGGTCTATCTCCTACCATCATAAAAAAAAATTACCTAATGTTTGTTTTATAGGGAAAACTACACATGTGGATAGATATATTTCCCATCCAAAGTGATACTAACATCCCAACACCTGTAGACATTAAGCCATTGGACATAGAAGATTATGAACTCCGGCTACGAATTAATTCCATTCGTGACATTAACTTGAATCGTGGTAAGGACTTGTCAAAAGGGAACAATACAATGTTCATAAAAGCGTAAGTAAATACTGTCTATAGTTTACGCGAGTAGAACATATTTAAATAAAACACTTTAACGGTTTTAAAAGTGAAGTTAAAAATCACTTTCAAATACGTTTAACGAATATATCGCGTTTTAAACCGTTAAACTGTTTTATTTAAAAGCGTAAGTAAACTAATTGTTCAATGACTTAGTGGTAAAACGTCAGTAATTCGAATCATGGGAAACATTAAATTTTCTGTCCGATCTACTACCACTAAATACTATGGAGTTATGGCATTTTATATATTTTTTCCGTAATGAGAATTAAGAAGAAAAGCATTTTTGTCTAATGATATGTGACTACCGTCCGGGAGGTCGGGGGTTCGAATGCTGGTTGTGACACGTAGATAAAGTTCATTAGAAATTCGGATGATACAAAAAATCGATTTGTCATTTAGTGAAGTAAGATCAACGCTAGATGGGTCAAGTCCCAGCTGTGGGAATTTAGGTCTATAATTGAGAATGGTGTGATACTGTGGGTGCTTTATGCATATAAAACCAAGTACGAATAACGACATATCCCGTACTTTTTTCAGATGGATAGGCTCAAATGAATCAGTCGAAGAGAGTAAATTATACAGCCTTACAAGCTCAGAAATTATTGTTAATTGGAAAATGATATTCAGCTTTCAGTATCAACAAGCAGCTAGAAAGGTATATAACATAAAAAATAATGCTTTAATATTCTGTCCTTTGAACCGCCTCTGTAGCCAAATGGTTAAACGTATTGCCTAGCGTTGCGTTAAGCGCGAGAGGTCCTGGATTCGAATCCCACAAAACAAAAACAAACAAAACAAAGGGAAACAAAAAAATTGTTTCGGTCAGGCACAGAAGTCTGATCAACAACTTTCCTGTTAAAGAACAGATCAGTGAAACGGACACAGAAATGTGTTCGCCCCATGCCCCACGACGGGGAAATGGGACTTCACACATTCTGTCCTTGTTCCCGAACCTGTCCCACAATCCTAAATTCTAGTAATTGTGTTGCTTATAGCAACACAATTATTATAGTGTATCCCCTACATGGGTTATGAGGCGGACACACATCTGCGCCCGTTAATCTAATCCCTTTTATCTAAAGCCACATAAGTGACCGTTGCGCAAGAAAATGTTCTAGATCGAAATATAAATATTGTCTCTGGAATTGAACCAAGGATCTCTCGCGTAACGCTATGTAGGATTCCTTTTACAGCTGAATACGGAGGCTGTTAAATTGTAGATGTTTTTATGTTGTTTTAGCTCTACAAGACAAACATTGGTCCTTTTACGGAGTTTGAAGAACATTTATTGCCTAAATTAGTAGTTCAAGTTATGACAGAGAATACGAACGGCGAAGTTGAATGTTTTGGTATTGCTTTGTATTATATTTCGCAGCAACTAATTAGTTTAAATAAAACACTTTAACGGTTTAAAACGCAATATATTAGTTAAACTTATTTGAAAATGATTTTTAACTTCGGCCCGACGTTTCGGATGCTTTGCAGCAGCCGTGGTCACGGGGACCGAATAAGTTTAACTAATATATCGCGTTTTAAACTGTTAATTTTTTTTTAAAGACAGTATTTAACTAATTAGTTGTTTATTTTTTCTTTTTGTAATACTAAAAATTGTAGACATTAGTTGCGCCTCAAACTTGAATTGAGTGACTGAATTGAAATTTTTGACACAAGCTCCAACATCCACAACAGAAGGATTGAGTTCGCGAACCCTTTGAACCACATTGATTTCCATTCGTGCACCAACAATTTATTTATCACACAAATCTTAAAGATTATGTGTAACCTGGAAGACATAGCGAACCCTATTTTGCTATAAGACTAAATTTGATTACCATAATTTTTATGGTTTTATCTTAAAACATAGACTGTGAATATTTTTTTAGATTATTAAAAAAAAATCATAACACTTTTTCGACCACATCTTGAACCGTTTTCCATATTTCCCACTATTTCTTCGCTCCCATTAGTACTTGTAGTTTCCGAGGTTAGCGTCTTCGTACAAACAAAGTAACACACTTTTCAGCTTTATAATATTAACATAGATATAATTTAATACGATTTTAGGTTCAATAGAATTAAACCTCAACTCAATGCCGCGGGGTAAGCAGTTTTCTCGAGCAAACTTTGAAGATCTCACGGCTAACAAAGTAGATTTATTCAGAATGGGTAGCCATAAGGGTTGGTGGCCAATCCAAATTATTGATGACAAGGGCGTCTCCCAAACGGTGAGGAAATTATCATATGAATACATTGTATAAATGTTTTTCAACCACTTTGCAACGCTTCCTTGATTTACAGGGTGTTATACAGATGGAAATGACGCTACTGCCATTGGAAAAAGCAATTCTTATGTCTTTTAGTCTTGAAAGGGAGTCGGATATTATACCGAACCTAAGGTACATTATTCAATTTGTTTGAGTAGATGAAGAAACTGTGGGAAAAGTGGAAAAAAAACGGTTATTAAGATTACCTTGCAAGAACGACGATATGAGACCGACATTGTGGGTAACAGGTTTAAAAGATGTTAAAGGATAGGTGGTTTGCAAAAATAACTGTCGACGCCCAAAATAATTATTCTACCCAGAGGCAGTCGCGAGCACACCTCAAAAAATTTACTGTCCAAAATAACTATTACATGCCGACAAAGTAGCTGCCAGCTACTGCCAGCAGTTATCTACAAAAAGCAGTCTAGGGTTCGGCGAAATGTTAGTTTGGTTTATGTCTAATGTCTAAACAGTCATTAGACGCCCGCCATTCCATACTTGAGCAATTTGGTTGTTCTAAATTCTTATATCCTCTGTTCCATGCGAGACGAGACCTCTGCCCAGAAGAATCACATTAATATATTTAAACGTTATTCAATGTAATATAATACTGTCTATAGTTTACGCTATAGTACGCATTTAAATAAAACACTTTCACGGCTTCGAACGCGGTGTATTATTTAAACTTATTTGAAAATTGTTTCCCCAAATATCAACGACGACGTAACAGATGGCGCTAGCGTAGCAAATTTATTTTGACATCAGAGACACCTTCCATCTTTAGGGGGTTCTGCAAAGCAGCCGCAACGGCAGGCCGTAGTTAAAATAATTTCCAAATAAGTACAATTAATATATGTCGCGTTATAAACCGTTAAATGTGACATTTAAATAATTTTATCTTACTCTTTGTCTCTTATATCTGTTACAGCCGCAGTGATTCCAGTATTTCGAGGAATGAAACAAGGAACAAGATAATTTTCTCATCCAATATCAGATTATTTTGTAGTTTATTTATAGGAGTTTTAATATTAATATTGGCTATATCGTTCTATTTAGATCTTCCTGCTATGTTTTCTTACTATTGGTCCTTACTACGTTCTTGGTATTGACACATTTATATAAGAAGAATTACGTTTTACGGTGAATTATTTTATCTATCGCGATGTTGACATGAATGAGTATGCTATTTAAAATATTTTTTTTTTATGTTTTAATATTAATTGAGTTTATTTTAATAATGTTGTTCTGTAATTTTGAATAAAGCGTAATTATTATTTTTTGTTTTTCTTTGCGTTCTAATCATGTAGCTCGCTTTAAATATGTATATAAAACACTTTAACGGTTCAAAACGCCATATATATTAGTTAAACTTATTATAACTTTGACCCGTCGTTTTTTTTTATAGGAATTTAATTACTTCTCATAAACTCGTATAATTTAAAAACATTTTGAATTTTGGCATTAATAAAGATTATTTTCGCGTAACTGTTCACTGTTGTATAATATATTAAAATTAAGAAAAATCTCATATTGTAAATATTTAAAAAAAAACGTTATTCTTTATATTTTTTTATAAAATCCTATATTGCTTAAAATATATTTTTTTAATTATATTTACTCTTGCGCCTCTAGGGGCAGAATTTAAAAGCTGTCTAAGAACGACACTGACACATATAGAATCAATTTACGTAGAGATTTTTCTTTTCAAACTCCAGACTGGTTTTTGTAAAAAAGTGAAATTCGCTTGACTTAATATAGAGATCTTATACTATGCAATGAAGTGTACTAACAAGATAAATAAGAGAGTTACATTAGTAATGCGCCTTGAATTCTGTTTATTATATTTGTTTTTATAAATGACACACTTTATTACTTCGAGCAACGTCAGAAAATGTAATTCGATGTGAAACATGGTGATAAAAGGACAAAATATTTACTCAAGGATTTGCTGTTAATATAATTTAAGCAGCTGGCTACGAGAATTTTACTGATAATGAAAATTATATCTATGTACTATTTAGGTACTAACGTTATGTACATAAATCAAAGTCTACTGTGACGAGGATTATATTTGATTGCAATGTAGGACAATTTCCATTTTTGTGAAACAATTAAATAATTAAGGCATTAATAACACGTAGGTTAAAGAAAAACTATATTTTTTTTATTACCAAAACTACAGTTTTACAAAATCTTGAAGATTTAGTCATTAAAATCATTGTTATATTATATTGTCGATATTATTTTAAACTAAATAAAACATTTTTAACGGCTTAAATAAAACACTTTAACGGTTTTAAACGCGATATATCAGTTAAACTTATTTGAAAATGATTTTTTCCAAGATTGGTACGCGAAGCAATTGAAATCAAAAAACACCAAAATTTCAATAGGGAGGACAGCCTCAAATTATCAAACACCTGGGACCCCATTTTAAAAACTCTGGATCCCAATAAACAGCGTACCGGCAAACGCGAAGACACCGTTAGTAAATTCTGCAAGGTCCCGGCCAGTTTCGCCAAATACCAACTTCGACTGAACAGATGGCGCTAGCGTAGCAATTTTTTACTTTGACGTCAGTGACATCCTCCATCTTAAATCTCCCCGTGACCACGGCTGCTGCAAAGCATCCGAAACGTCGGGGCGAAGTTAAAAATCATTTTCAAATAAGTTTAACTAATATATCGCGTTTTAAACCGTTAAAGTGTTTTATGTAAATGTGTACTACTCGCGTAAACTATAGACAGTATTTTTAACGACTTCTAACAATAAACTATTCATCTATGAAGCCGTCGTTTTTGTTTTTATATACTATGTTCCGTTTGTTTGTATGAATATTTATAATTGCAAATATATTGTTAACTTTAATACTTTTTACATCGTATTGCTATATAATATGTTGATTTGACATCGATAGGACACGGTAGCTCAATTGGTTACAGCAACAGCTCAACAATGTCAGTTCAGGTCCTGCCCGTGTCGTAATTTTTTTTTAAATCTAAAATTGATTCTTAATTAATATATTGTTTATTTATTTTTAACGACCCGACGCTTTGAATGCTGTACATCGTTTGCCGTTGGGCATCGTACCGTCGTTGTCATGGGGGTTTATAAACAGTTGTTTTTTTTAAATGCGTAACATCTCGTAAAGTACAGGCCATTTTATATATAAATACCATATTGACGGTTCGGATGGTATTCTCGTGTCTTCTTTATGTTCATGGTGTGTTGCCATATAATTTCGAATTGATTGACACGATAAAAGCAATTGCGATCATTTAAATGAAATTTTTACATCTAGTTTAATTATTAACTGCAAATGTTATGTAATTCATCTTAAATATACAAGGTTTTATTAAGCATTTCCTGGATTCAAACAAAACAAGTTTTTAAAATAAAATGTTTTAAAACAAAAGAAATGTCTGGCCTTCAGTAATATTTATTTTCTAAATAAGTCAAATTTTCAGCACAGTACACGTCAAGTAGTATTACTGAAAGATCACGATTTCATGTAGATGTCGTTATACCAATAATAATCAAAAAAATAAATTTGACTACTACTTTGTTCGCTACTTAAAGGTTGTCTTAGCATAATAATTAAACGCGCTGTCTAATATCGCTTTAAGCAATGTGGACTGAGGTTCGAATTCTGGAGAAACGATAAATTGTGTCGGTTTCACAGGGCACAAGTCTGAAAGGCTAAAATTGATCAGACACAAAAATACGTTCACTCCTTAACTCTCAGCTGTATAGAGGAATTTACACACAAAAGTACAATAGAACACGCTTTTTATAGCATCAGAATTGCGCAATAAAATAATTAAACACTTTGACTAACAAGAAAAATAATTTATTCTAACCATTCTTATGGTCCCCAGTGACATGTCATTATCACTTCTAATAGTTGAAGTGTTCCATTAATTTCCCGGGCCTCCAAGTTTTGTTAGCACAAGGCTTATTAAATTTATCAACAATGCAACCATGATTATATGTTTTGACAAAACGAAATCGAAAAAATCGAATCTTAAGACCTTTGGATATATCACCCAACTTTAGATAAAATAAGATTATAGTTATAATTTTATTTATTAAACAGTAACACATGACAGCTTATAAGCTGTTAAAATGATATTTTAGACTAGCTTAACTGGCAAAAGTTATTTTGCCGTGTGAAGCATTTCGATTAAATTTGATTGCTATCAATACGGTTTATGTGGTTTAATCTTCCATTTTCCACTATTCCATCGCTCCTATTAGCCTGATATTTTATAAACTTAAGTCCTTCTCGATATATGTTCCAACTAATACAAAAATAATCGTTCAATTCCAAAGAAGTAGTTCCTGAGAATAACGCATTCTAACAAACAAAATATTCTTCAGTGTTATAATATTAGTAAAGATTAAAAAATATAGACGGTTGAGAATCGAACCACTTCACTAAAACCTTCGGTACGCTAACACAAGTGGGTGACCATTATTAAAAAAATTAGTATGGTATTTTATTCGATTGGTAAGCCTTTACATGAAATTTGGTTAAAATTATCGAATATATTAATTGTAAGGCATATTATAAACGCCTCTGTAGCCAAATGGTTAAACCTGACGTTGCGTCAAGCGCGAGAAGTCCTGCGTTCTCATCTCAGGGAAACAATATATTGTTTCGGTCGGGCAAAGCGCAGAAGTCTCATCAACTGCTTGCGTGTAAAAGAACAGATCAGTGAAACGGACACAGAAATATGTCTGCCCACCCCTCCCCCCGTAATCGCCCGTTTTTAAATGAGTTTCCAAAAATAATAGGGACATTCCTTTTCAGGTATATGACTTTGTAAATATAGATTATGCTTATGACTGCAAACGAGCAATTATACTATCCACGTCCTATCGTAATGGAAATAATTTGTCTGAAACCATTGAAAAGCTCATTCGGTCACGACGCATGCTTATAGACAGCTTTTGCGACAGTTATCTGTGTACCCTCGTCGCGAGGACCGAGGAATTCGCTTGCCTAAAATAATACAGTACAGAAGGCTTTTAGTAAAGTTTTATGTCAAGACGAATCCATGAACAGCGCCCGGTGAGTTCCTTTAAAATTACAATATTTTTCATCGCCTTTTTTTAGTAATTGTTATTATTTATTAAATTACATAAAAATATAAAGTCAAATCAGATATGGAAACATTACAGCTAGTGCAAAAGAATAGTCGAAAAAATAGATACTCAAAGACAATTTAAAGTTTTCGCTTTTAAATCCAGACGTGTACTAAATTCACAAAAATCCGAGCTTTGATTAAAAGTGAAAAATTGTTTTTTAACATTGAATGATGGCACATTTGATTGAATGAAATAAAAGCCTTTTCGCTAAGGGTTAAGTAGACAGGGATCAATGTATATGACTTCTATATTACTATGTTACAAAATAGTAAATAAATAACTTACGTTACTATTCATTTGATATATCTGTTAGAATAGTATGTATGTAAAACAAATACTTGTATGTACATGTATGTGAAATAATTTGGACAGGCTGGTCGCCGTGTAATGGTTAATAATCAACGGGTCGTGTCTTCAATCCCCACCGCTTTCAACCTTTTTTTATCAGTTTATAATTTTTCTGAAACATGTTGGACTTCGTCTGGAAATATAATGTTGATCTTCCGTTCGGGTCGCGAACCACCGTCCACAGATGAAAAATCCGTGAAGCTTAACCATGTTTCGTATTCAGTCTGTGGATATCCGAATATCCAAAGCCAAAAGAGGTTAATAGCGCATCTTGTTTAGATGTTATCGGCTATTAAGTAAACCCCTCTATGATTAAAAAAATAAAATAAATAATGTCTACACTGAAGAATTAATATGCGTCATATATATTTATGTATATATGTAATAAATTATGTACGCGTGTCTGAGTCTTTCATCAAATTAGTGATCTTATACGCGTAGCTCATGTTTACCAAGCTTAAGCCCCGTCATAAAACGCCGGCGAAGTTTTGTACTACGTCGAATTTAAAATATTGCATGAGGATTACAAGAATTCGTAATTTTTACTATGTTATTTTCTTCGTCAATTGCTTTCCTTAATGAATTGTAATACTTGTGATATAAATGGATGAAACATCTTTTTCTACGAGAATAGGCTATTTTTAATAATGTTATGTAATGGTAAGGTGGTGATGGGCGATGAGTGGGGCATAGGGAAATGGGTGAAGTGGTTAGCAGATGAAGTGTACTGATCAACCGGCCTTATATCGGTGTATCAATGGAAAATAATAATGGAACGGTTTTGCCAAAAAATGGGAAGCGATTTTTTTCTACAATCATTTTAAATAGATCTACTTCAGTCTTCCATTCTAACAAACCAATGAAAATATACTGCACTAACATATTATCTTGACTTGATTTTTATACATGATTTGATTTAAATTTGACGAGACCGTCTAAAAATAAAACATAAATTTATGTTTTCAAGTGTGTTGCCTTCATAGTAGTTATAGGCATGTTTTATTCACTTTGTACAAATGTCTATAAAAGTTTAGAATTATCCTAATTGTGTTTCTAGATTTGATTAGTTAATTTAGCAATTTCCACACAAACGTTACGATTATTCGAATTATCTACGATAATGGGAAATGGGGAAAATCCGATAAGTTATCAGATTTTAACTCAATAAGCCCACACTGTACGGTGTGGACTTTTGTCCTCATTATAATCGAGTTATCTCGCTCACTATACCACCACTTATTTATTGCATAATGGCTAACAATATTTTCTGCATAATCTACTTTTTCGTGGCTCTTACTGTTTTATATGAGATACGGATTATTTATAATTCAACACTTATATTATAAAGATATTTCCCCCGCCTGTTGGTAACAGCAGCATTAATTATATAGCAACAATAAAAATTGCAAAAACCCTAACAAATAGGATTATTTAATTATAAGAAAAGTGATATTTTATTATTACTGATAATGGAAAAATCTCAATAAATAAACAAATTATAGAGACACGGGCGGAATTGTGCCGTGCTGCTACTCAAACGATAACACTGTAATTCAATTGGTTAGAGCAGCAGCACGGAAAGCTGTAAGTGTCAGTTCAAATCCGGCCGTGTCATTATGTGCAATAAATAAAGAAAAATAACAACAAACTAACAATAACTAATAGTTTTGTAAATCAAATCTCTGAAATTATTCATGACCGGCCATATCATAACAAACTATAATTTTTTAAATCAATCCACAAAAAAAGAAAATATAATATGCTAGGACTTACGTTGAACCATCAGGTTCTACTTATTATATATTTATAGATATTGGACATTAAATTCACATATTTAAACTGTGATTTTTAAATACTGGCCACGTTTATAATTAATTTACAATTCTATCACCATTTGCCTCCGTTCAAGTGAGTGGTTACAACAGGACGGTGTAAAGTCAATTCGTATTGTTTATCCCAATTTCGCTAATTGAATAACAGGTGATAGACACGTAATTCTCATCGAGTGATTGACGTTAGTAGTAGTGGCATCATTCTCAATCACTCAATTTTGGAATAAGAGCGGACTCTTTAAAATCGAGCCTCCTGAAAAACCACTAAATCAGAGCGTGTTTTTAATCATTTTGGCTTGATGAACGAGGAAATTCAATCACTCTTCGAGAAATGAATGCTTTTTCAACTGTAATCCATTTGTATATTGTTATGACGAGATGACATTTCCCCGAATGTAAACCCATTTTCAATTTAAGGTAGAGACACTTGTGTCTATATTTTCATTCAAAAAGAACCCAAAGTCTCTCGGTCCTATTGCGGGCTAGCTAGACATTGTTTTTATGTATCTTAAATTAAAATAATTATACAGGAGTTTTATTTAATATCTATTCCATGTGAACCTAATATTAAGTTAAAAAAAGTGTTGTTTATCATATCAATAAAAATGTTACATGATAATATTGTCTCTGTTACATAATCTGTGCCTTCGTAGATAATTGATTAGGCAATGTATTGCTAATAATCCACGGGTCCTGGCTTTGATCTCTTCTTATATGTTTGTTTGATCGCGCTAATCTCAGTAACTGCTTATTTTAATTGAAAAATAATTAGAACATTTAACTAGAAAGGCTTTAAGCTATAGAACAATACTCTGCGACCAATCGGAGCAAAAAGACAGTGGAAAATGCGAAAAAATCGGGGAAAATTCATCTTTGATAGTTTGTATATTCTACATGTTTGTCTCTAAATGTCTATCTGTTTTATATATTTCTGAATATGTATTTCTTAAGTTCACACTCAGCTTAAGCTTTATAAAACACTTCTTGCTAGTTAGCGGATATGCAATTTACAGTTTGTTGCCTTATGGAAATCACTTTAGAATTAATATTCTTAATCCTTCGCGACTAACTTGGAGAGACGAACTTCATGTTGGACTTTAGATTTAAACTAAAAACATTCAAGATCATTTACCTTACCGTTAGGGACGTAATTCAAACATTATTTAACCATCTAAACGAAATTTCGACGTTACCTTGTAACGATAATATTTTAAAGTGCACAATTAATAATAGTAAGCTTTTAATATTAACTTTTAATAAAAATGTTTTAACAAATTATATAATTCTTGTTTTCTTTTCTTTACAATAACGTGTCTGCGCCTCTTGTGTGATTCTTATCAAAATAATACACCAGTATTGCATCATAGGGGCATAAGACGGTAATGGTTTTTAATTAAATAAATATTGCTCTAACGTGCAAACGTCTTATCTATCAGTAACATTATAAAAGGTGAAATCTGCTTACTGTTAATTAGTTATCATGTAGTTGCCATATAAGATACGTCTACCAATTCCACGAACACTACCAGACGAACACAATCAGACAAGACATTAACAAAGCTTATTTGATCTTTGTAATTTGAAGGCTGCAATTAATATGAAAAAGGAGGTTCCACGGGTCGATAAAGACAACGTGGCCGATAAGAAAGAGGAATTTCAAAGCGTAGATTATGACGAATTGTTATCAAGCGCCGGAGAGTTCGGTCGCTATCAGTTCCTACTCTTTATAGCAACATTTCCAACAAATGTATATGGCGCGTTCTCATATTTCTCTCAGATGTTCATGACGGAAGCGTCTCCAAACCATTGGTGCTGGATTCCGGAATTGGAAAATTTAACTGAGATCGACCGTAGGAATCTTGCAATCCCCGCTGATCCTGAGTCACCATTTAGATATTCTAGATGTGCTGCGTATGTCGCGAATTGGAGTGAAGTCCTAATTACCGGACAGAAACCAAATTCCACGTGGGGCGTCCAAACCTGCCAACATGGCTGGGAATTCAATAAGTCTGAGATACCTTACCCAACTGTATCGAGTGAGTTCGGTTGGGTGTGTGATAAGGATAGTTACCAGGCGACTGCTCAATCGATATTTTTTATGGGATCGATAGTTGGTGGATTTCTGATTGGCTGGATAGCTGATCGATATGGTAGAATCCCAGCAATCGTTTCATGCAATCTGATTGGATTTGTAGGTGGTGTCATCAGTATCTTTGCCACGGATTTCCTTCAATTCTCTGCATGTCGATTTCTATTTGGAATTTCATATGATAATTGCATGATGATGATGTACCTGCTGGTGCTGGAATATGTAGCACCAAAATATAGGACACTGGTAGCGAACTTGCCCCCAGCAATATTTTACACTTTAGCAGTAGTTACGCTACCTTGGATATCTTTGGCCTGTGGACATTGGAAAACGATTAGCTTAGCAACGAGTGTTCCAATGCTGTTAGTTGTAATAGCTCCGTTTATTTTACCAGAAAGTCCCAGGTGGTTATTATCAAAAGGACGCGTCGACGATGCTATAAATAAAATTAAGAATATCAGCAAAGTTAACAAAAAGGAAGTTCCACAGGGTTTAATAGATCAGTTTAAAAAAACAATCGAGAATAACGATAAACAAGAAAGTTACGGAATCATGACAATCCTCAAGAACCCAATGATAAGAAAGGCGTTTATCAGCCTTTGCGTTTTGTTTATGTGTAGTATGATAATTTTTGACGCGCTTATTCGAACCATCGGAGGTTTAGAGTTCGACTTCTTTCTCTCCTTCACGTTTGTGTCAATGACTGAATTTCCCTCGCTCCTTATCTTGACATTAATATTAGATTTGACTGGTAGAAAGTGGCTGTCGATTGTATTTTTAGTAAACGTGTGTGTTTTTAGTGTAATGTGTATATTTATTGGTCAAGGTCTGCCGTCTGTTATATGTACTGTAATTGCTAGGTTTTCTGTTAATTTCGCCATTAATGCTACCCAACAATGGGCTGCTGAAATTCTACCAACGCCTGTTCGAGGATCTGGAACATCGATTGTTCATATATGTAGCTATGTATCGACTATTATATCTCCATATATTGTCTATTCCGGGAATTTTGTAACTTGGCTTCCTCACTTCATCATCGGATGTACAGCGCTGTTGGGGGCATCATGTGCGTTCATGTTACCGGAGACAGCTGGTAAAGATATACCACATACATTGAAGGACGCAGAGGATCTCATGAGTAATCAAAAGGCGTTCGATATACCTTTCCTAAGGAAGAAAACTGATGAACTGGCAGGTAACACAAATGCTAGTTTTGAAATGAATTAGATAATTGTTATCAGATGAGTTTTTAGTAATCTGTATACCTATTTGCAATTACTCTGACTGCTATTGCGTTCCAAAAGTAGGATGATCAGTTCACATAAACGTATAATTAAACAACATTAAATAATTTGAGACACCTCTATGTTTTATTTGCTCCGTAGAAACTGACTCGTGCAATAGTTTTTGTTTTACGACTTGCATGTTAATTACTTCAAAAGCGAATTTTTCTTCTACTCTTTTTCACAAGCGAAGGTGGCTTAAAATCAAAAATGCTTGAGTTAAAATACTTCTTATTCGAATTTAAGTTTTTTATATATATATATATATATATAATTTTTACTGGCAGTTTGGATATACCATATATTTATGACTTACTTATGCATTGTATGTAAAACATTTAATTAACTTACAATTATTATCTAGTATTTTAGATTTATCTAATAGTCAATTTGGAGGCTTGCTTTAATTTAACAAAGATTTCTAAAGAGTTTTGAAAAATGTTTGAATTGAGAGATATTTCCCCCCCCCCCCCCCAAAAATATCTCTCAACAGTAATTTTTGCTCAAAACGTTTTCTATTTTCAATTGGTCTTAATAATAAATAGAAAAAACTTTCCATAAAAACTATTACGTACATGTATGAGATATTTTAAAATGAATTAAATGTTTGTAAATACTGTACTTACAAGTTTATTTGAAAGTTCAATAACAAAGTTGGTTCATGCGCAACTTACATACAGCTCTAACAGTCCTCCTTGACCTTCTCCTGTTCCTTATAGACTAGAACCTCTTATCTGACTGTACTTAACAATAATAGTCTTACAATACCTCATATGTATATAATTGTATCATAAGAAAAATGAAGGCGAAAATATATCAGACACGTATAGAACGAACAAAGTATATAAAAACAATCTAGACAAAATCTTTATAGTCTATTTGTGTTCGTAAAGCGTAATTGAAGAAATGTTTAATCACGAACGAAGCCATGTTGAGACAACAATTAACGCTACAACGCAGTTCATTACTTCAGTAACAAAAATTGGGACAATGGCTCTTAACTCTACATAGTAGAGTAGACAATTGATGGGTGTGTTAAAAGAAAGGAAACACAACGGTCCAACGCCTTCGCGTTTATAGGGAGTTTTATACCTCGGAACAGTTCTAATATAGAATTAACATTTTTGACAGATAACGTTTAAAAAGGGACGAAAGAAAGAATAAATTTTGTGTGATTATTAAAGAAGCTGTGCCCGCAACTTATTCCGCGTAGAATTGTATTTTAGGTATCAAAATTTGTTTTTGCCTACCTCCTGTTCAACTCTATTATAAAGCTGTTACCGTATTTTTAAATTAGCAGACGTTATGTTTCGCGTCGTCTGCGTCCTGTCATAAATGCAAGTTAATCTTAAAAGTTTTTGAAACGGTTTTCGCAGCGAAGTCCTCAAAGCTGAATTTACCCAATTTTTTCAACGTTTCCCTCTATTTCTTTTTCCTTTTGTTCGTAGCGCGATTATTAGCCTAAAATAAAGGCCTTAATCAACAATAAAAATCTCAGCTTGAACCAGAAGTTCCTGAGATTAGCCAGTTGAAACAAACTTGTAATTATAACATATTCATTTTGGTGCGTCAAGGCATTCAATAACTATCGCCATAATAACTTCTGACGCCATAGCATCGAAACGAATAATTTCAAAGGGAAAATTCGCGTACATTCTGCATCGATAGTGGCAATTACTGTCGACGTATAGCTGGACGGCGAGCGAGCTCAGGGCGAGTTTATTTTCCTGATGTGTTATGAAAAACTCGAGGGTTATCTAAACAATTTCAAGGATTTTTTTTTGTTCATGATGCTGAAAACAACTTTTAATTGTGAGTTCAATTCGAGTTTGGTACTTTATTTACGATTTTAGATAATTTTGCGTATTCACCACACTACTTCTCACTAAATTACCGACGATTGGATTTCACCCATATGGTTAATAGCAATATCAAAATTGTTTCTTTGTATTGAATACGCGAAGACAAGCCATGTTTAATCTTCTTCGGAATGTCTTACGACAATAATGTTCAGTACGAACGTCACGTAGATACCGCTCGTAATGTGAATCCATTAATGTCACGTACAAAACACTTCTAAATAGAGTATGTTTGAATTCCGAATTTGATGTAAGGTTACGTTTTCATTTTGCTAAGAGAAAATGTATTTTAAAAAAAATCTTTATGAATAGAGCTTTATTTAAAATGGTCCTTGCCTTTTTTATTGGTAGTAAAGGTAACTTTTTAAAATCTGGGTGTTTTTGGTCAGTCAGCGGCTCGTAACTGCAAAAAGTTTGAAAAATTTTTTTTCGAGTTTTGAATTTTTTATTAAGCGTACGTGTTTTGTTTTTATTTCATTATTCAGTAATAGGGAAAACGCAACCAGGAAAAATGTCTTCGCAATACGCTGACTGTTAAATACTATTTCTATTGAAAAAATATATACGCTTGACTCTACCCTGAACCTAAGACGAGCGAACTGGGCTTTTTACTCTACCATATAGCCATCGAGCTCCACCTGTAATAAATAATTTCTAAATGCATATATAAATATATCTCTCATAATATATAATTCGGACCCAAAGACTTATGTATTCTACGTCCTATGTACCTCATTTTTTTAAATAATGTTTATTATTTAAAAAAAATTAAGCGATATAACTACTAATAAGTATCCATTTTTTTTGTTACTTATTTAATTACAGTTTATTCTATGAGGCAGTCAGTTCTACGGATCGATTTTATTTACAAACAAGTAACTCAACTTAGAGTATTATGAATCTGAATTCATACGTCCTACAATGTATCGTTTAACCATTGAATAAAAGGACGGTCCGCAGTTAAGATTTAAAAAAGTGAAATCCCGTTTGGAACGAACACATTTCTATGTCCGTTTCACTGATCGTTTCTCTGGTCCCTGCCAGACCGAAACAATCGAATTGAAACCGAATCCCTAGAATTCAAATCCAGGACTCCTCTCGAGTAACGCAATGCAACACGTCTAATCATCTGGCTACAGAGGTGGTAAGCTTTCAAAGATCTCAAAGCCGAAGTAAAAGTTACTTAGAAACGAAAAATTGTGTGACTACCTAATGGTTAAGTGTTACTACGTAAATAAAACACTCCCCGAAGAATGTCACTTAGTCAAGGTGACAAACCCTTTACGATGACGTAAAAGACGAAAATTGAGATAGCATTAATATGATCGATGTGTTTGATTTGACCTTGGCTGTAATCCAAGCTTTAAACATCCTTAAATATGAAGTTGGAAATAATATTTTAATATTATTCGTTAATTACAAACCAGTATTTGCATCACAATATTATAGCGCTGCATATTGTATTTTTTTATTGTAATTAAGTTATGTTTTCGAGTTGTAAACCCAAATAAATAAATAAACGAAAAGAAAAAAAAAACTATTGTTCTATTCTGTCGTTTTTATGTAAGGTTCGATTGTTGGAATCGGTTCGATTTAATAATTTTAAATATAGAACATCTATGGTTTGCTTGCTTGTATCTTGTAGTGTAAATTTAGCCATAATGTTGCAAAAATTAAACATTGTAATGTATGGCTTTCCATCAGGTCGCACATGTCTCTAAAAAAATTTATAACGTTGGAATGTCTGGAAATCTGAATATCAAATAGGCGAGGCTAAACTCCGTCCGGGTTCATGAAAAAACTGTGAAGATTAAGCGCGTTTCAGCTTCAGACTGGATTTCGGTATAGTCATAGCCAAGAATATATTGATAACGAATATCGATGAGTTATATAGCTGGGTTATATACTACTTTCCATCAAGTGAAACCCATAGCATGTCTGACCTCTTCTATCATAGAAAAAAGTTTAACCAGTATTTTTTTTTAATAAAACACTTTAACGGTTTAAAACGCGATATATTAGTTAAACTTATTTGAAAATGATTTTTAACTTCGGCCCATCTCATCGGAAGGGCCCAATCATTCACATTCGCTTTGACCAGCCAAAAATCCACGTAAAGGAGAGTCGATTTTTTCCAAGATTAGTACGCGAAGTAATTGAAATCAAAAAACACCGAAATTTCAATAGGGAGGATGGCCTCAAATTATCAAACACCAACTTCAACGGAACAGATGGCGCTAGCGTAGCAATTTTTTACTTTGACGTCAGAGACATCCTCCATCTTTAGTCTCCCCTTGACCACGGCTGCTGCAACCGAAACGTCGGGCCGAAGTAAAAATCATTTTCAAATAAGTTTAACTAATATATCGCGTTTTAAACCGTTAAAGTGTCTTATTTCAATGTGTACTACTCGCGTAAACTATAGACAGTATTCAATGTTTTTTTTTTCAATTCTTGATCAGCTATACGAGTTGTGAATATATAAGAAAATATTATTTGTTTGGACAGAAAACGATCCGGTCATTTGTAAACAAAAATGTATGCCGGAATTGGTCACAAAAATGTGTCTGCCATATAAGCCACGGAAATAAAACCCTTGTATACACATATAGTATACCTTCGAAGCATCGATCCACTCCTTTTTATATCCCTCGTAGAAGGCTCATAATCTTCTGATGTTTACCCAGTACAAAATGACATACACGTTTTATTCGCGACACTGAGCAAAACTGCTGGAATATATTACAGTTCTTCTAAATTCTAGTGGAATGAGGAGTGCTAGTACCTTATACTATTGACGTTTTAGGGTTGCGTAGTCAAAAGGTAAAGATTATTAATAAGACTTAACTGTCTGTACGTAACCAAAGAATTGCAAAAGCGTAGGGTTGAAAATGTCACAAATTAATATGTATTTTGAGGCTAATAGATATACTAAAAACAAAATCAAAGATGGCTACCTTATAAGAAAAGCTATTCCCCTTTTTTACGATATCAATCAACGTAAAACACTACAAAGTACTAAAGAAAAAAAATAATTCCTGAAATTTTTAAAATTAGAATAGGTACATTTAACATGAGTATAATT